ACGTCTGGTAACATTAGATAATAAGCTTAGCAGTAATTTAGATGTTTTCCTTGATAATTTAGATGTTTTCCTTGATAAAATTTTCCTAGTGAAAAATTAAATATAAACTCTATGTGCATGCCACTAAATAAAAGAAAGTTAGGACTCTTCATGACTCCAAGGTCAAGTAGCACCAGCTACTTTATGTCCACTTAGATTGGGTGGATAGATTAACTTAAGAGCAGATCTGCCTTGGAGAGAGCTAAACTAAAAAGTGAGAGTGTAGGCATCGTGTTCTTGAGTTCCCTCTGTATCTCTCCTCCATGTAGCAGCATAACTACATGCTGAGAGGCCAAGACACTTGCAAAGATGGCCAGGAAAAGAAAAAAAAAGAAAAGAAAAAGGAAAAACATGAGGAAACACTACTTACACAAGCGTATTTTTGTTTCTGTTTGTGTGATCCTTCAGATAACACTCCTAATTGTTTTGGCATAACTACACCTTCCTTCTGACACCTTCAAAAGTGAGATCTGTTCAGAGCAGAGAGTTTAACCATCCGCAAATGATCAGTCTGGGAAAGGGTAGTGGTCCTAGAGGTACAAGGCTCCTTGAGATGTGATGCTGGCTTGACTTCCAGGCAGAAGGAATGAAAGAATAAAGCAAAGGGATTAGGTCTTTCTGCAGCTCCTCTATCCCTTGCTCTGAATGCAGCCCAGAGAAAATTCAGGAGACCTAGCTATTTGTTGGTGCATTCAGTTAGGGCAATGGAAAAAAAAAAAGTACACAACAGTGATTTCTTGTGTAATTTCTTTAAAAGTCAGTCAACTGTGAAACATAAATGCATTGGGAAGCAAAATCCTTCAGTGCTCTGGTCAATGAAAAAGATCATTTCTTCTGAAGAAGAACACTTGCAGTTCCTGCTATTCCTACTGCAAGCCCAATGACATGCCCAGAGCCTGGACACAACAATGCCAGCAATCTCTACTCTAAGCAGTAGATGACTCATTTGGCAGTGCTCCAGGTTAGCATTTCCACTAGAAAATACAGAGAATTAGTAATATGGACCTATGGAAAGCCTGGCAATCATGAGAGCAAACAGAAGGAGATGACAAGAATGAAGCAAAGACAATAAAGGAAAGGTGAGCAGACATTTTAGAGAGAATAGGAAAACAAACACCCAAAAGTCAGGGTAGAATGAAGAAAAGAGCAAGAAAAGACTAAGTGACTGAACTAAGGACGTAAAATGCAGAAAAATATGGTTACAGGAAAAGAGTAGAGAATAACAGGAGGTCTTGATACTGCTGTGTACATTCCTGTGGAGATTACTGAGAACATGGGAAAGTGAAATAACTGTTGAGACCAATATCTCATAGAACATTTCAGTACCAGTCCTCTGTATGCTTGTACTTAAGATTCTTCAGTATCACTTCCCAGCAGCTGTGGCCACATCCTCACTGTTGCAGAACAACTTAGAAAGAAAAGTCTGATGCTGAAGAGATAAGCAGGAAAGTGTCACGCTACCATGAAGACTCTGCTGATGCACCAGAGGAGTGTCCTATCCTGACTCTACTTCTGGAGATTCTAACAGATTGGCCATGTTGAGCCATTTCCATGAAGGGTGAGAAGCCCTTCAAACACATTCAAAACTCCAGCTTGCTTGGATCAGACTGGATTTTTGCTTAAACCACAAATGGAACCAATCTTAATCTGTTCTTCCAAAATGCCCAAAACAGTTAATGGAGAAAAACAGGCAATTAACAGACTATTAGCAGGTGTCCTCTCTCTTCCCCTTCTCCCCCCCCCCTCTCCCCCCACTTTCCTGTATTTACCAAATAGTCCTACAATTAGCCCTAGAAAAAGGATATCTCATGTCCTTTGAGGAATTCTTTGAAAAGGATCATTAAGGTAATACTGTTTCTTTGGGGAAAATTAGTCTGAATACCACACAAAGACTGAATAAGGTTCTGGAAGATGTTTACAGCTTATGGAACGAAATTCATAGGTTCAGAGGACCAGAAAGGCTGTGTACTGTTTATTATTAAATTGTTCCTTAAGACATAGAGTCATAGTGTCAAAAATAGCCTTAAGGGGAGAATAAGCAAAAGGATAATAAGCAGCTGGATTCAACACAGGAACATTGCATGAAATTATTACAAAAATTAGAATATAATTACATTGATAAACAAGTCTGATTGAAAAATAAAGGCGTTCTCAAATCAGGAGTCACCTTTCTCTGTCATTTATGAGAAATTTGTAAGTATATCCATTAAAGATAGAAACAAAAGTTGGGAAAATCACTTAAAACATATGACTTACAAAAAGCTTGATGTAATGGTCATATCTCAAAAGTGTGAGTCTTTAACTCAGGCAAATATCTGTCTGCTAATTTTGGATTAGGTATCAGTGAAGCAGATTTAGCACTTTCCCAACTTCTTAAGTGTAACTTTTAGTCAAAGTTCAATTGTGGATCAATTTATTTGTTAGTTCAAAATTGTTACAGACATGGTCCTGTAAGGAAGCGTCAAATTTTGATTATGAAGAATACATACTCATGCTTTATGTCCACAGTAAAGTTCAACAAGTTCTGGATCCAAAAGAAATAAGGAAGAAAGAAAGCACAGGAAAAAATGCATCATGTTTAATAGTGGGATGCAGGAAACTACACCTAAGAAATGGGATTGTTTAGTACACTCAGTTCTCCATCAAAAGGGGTGAAAAGCGAGGAACCACATTAAAAAAATAAATAAATGAATTTAATTCAGGTTAGTCAGAAACTGATAGAAATATAAAGTTTATGATGGATGCTTCTATTTGGCATGCTCAGGAGAATAGAAAAGCAGCTGTATCTAAGGTTATCCATAGTCAAATGGAATGTGGTAAGGCTCATCAGAATTCCAGTATCTAGGGCACTTTTCTGAATGGAAAACTTTCCTAAGCTGGTATGTGGTCAGAAAAGGAAAGAAGAAAAGGTGATAGTAAATAATGCTGGAAGTGACAGTCATAGAATCTTAGAATCATTAAGGTTGTAAAAGATTTTGAAGATCATCCATTCCATCTGTTCACCTAACAACAATATTTCTACATTAAACCATGTCCCTTAGTACAACATCTAAACATTTCTTGAACACTTTGAGGGATGGTAACAATCACTTTGCCTCTAAAAAAAGAATGAGAAGTAACTTAGGGAAATGCTTTTAAGCCATGGTTGTCCAACCTTTAGGTTTACCTTTGTTCACATATACAATATATAATATAGTTGATGTATATGTGTAACAAAACTTCATATATATATATAAAATTAAAACAAAAAGGAGAGCAACAAAAAAAATACAACTAGTGTGATAATTGAGCTTGATTTTGTGAAACACAAATCAAATACATATCACAAAACTCATTAGGAATCTATCTAAAATTATTTTATATTTTTGTGAGCTTTTTGAGAAGTTGGATATTTCATCCTCAGTGAATGAGTGATGTTATGAAGTAACACAAGTCCAAGTTTAATAAGAAATAAGAAAATTTACATAGGCAGTTAGTAACAAAAAAAACAACCATATATCTCCACAGACATACATATGTGTAGGTGGGTTGAAATATTGTTGACAATCATTGCATCTTACTCACCAAGCAACACAAACATGTGTACAGTGTAATGCACGAGACATCAATTCAGCTTAATGTGTGTGGAGGGCACAAGAGGTGTAACTAGCACTGCACTGCACGTCTCTCCACAGCATTCCATTGTTGCCTACACATTTGGCACTTGAGCTAAGCTCAATGAATTCATGAAAAATGTTATTAAAAATCACACAATAGTAATAAAGCTTATAATTTTGTGGGACCACACTACTAGCTGCCCAGAGCTGCGTGTGGCCCATGGGCTGTGGGATGGACAAGTCTGCTTCAAACACTGTTAATGTTTTGCTATATGAACATTTGAAGTTAGCCTCAAATTCTTTTTAAGCAAAACCGTACACTTGCCAGTGCTAAGAAAAGTAGGTCAGTATTTAATTCCTGCTAAGACCTGGCAGATATTGAGATTTTTTTCCTCCTGCTTTGCGTGAACAAGTCAGAGCTCATGGTGTTTTCCATGCACAGCTAAGATACTAACAGGAAGAGAAACAAGCTTTAAACTTGGTGCTGATGCTTGGTTTAACAGCGCACTCCTGGAGAAGTGAGTCACCCACAGCCTGACAGAGCAGAAAACCAAACTGCCCACTTCTGAAAAGATGCCTTCACCAAAGAATTGAAAGCCAAACTAGATGGTCATTCTGCAGCAGAAAATGGAGCACCACATAACATGGCAGTGCCACAGGCTGTTAAGGGAGGTAGTAGAGTCACCGTGCCTGTAGGTGCTCAAGAACCATGTGGATGTGGCACTGAGGGACACGATCACTGGGCATGGTGGGGGAGGATTGGGGTTGGACTTGATGATCTGAGAAGTCTTTCCAACCTTAATCCTTCATTCTATACTATCCTGGAGATGTTCAGGAAATGTATGGATGTAGCACTGAGGGGTGTGGTTAGTAAGAATTGTGGGAATGGGGCAATGGATCGAGATGATCTTAGAGGTCTTTTTCAGTCTTAAGAATTCTGTGACTCTTTGATTCTCTTGTAAAATTGGCAGGGCTGTTCACAGGATCAGAAAGCAAGAACACTTAGCTTTTTGATGGTTAGGACAAATATCAGAAAGGATATAAAGAACGGTAATCCTAAGTCATGGTCCCTGCACTGTCAGTGAATGGATGTATAGTAACGAGAGTTAGTGGCCTCTCCATCTCAAAATGCTGTCTTGCAGTAGATAATAGTATAATAGTGAACTTACTCAGATCTTTTAAAGAATAGGTGTTTACCAGAAATCCGGAAGCACAGCTCAGCTTTTCTGAAGAATATGTTCCAGGGGTGAATTAAACAGCTTTTTTTGCTCTTGTCATGAGAAAATGAAGATTTGGAGCAGAAAAAATGCACTTTGATGTAATTTTCTTTTGTTTAAATTTTTTATTTTCTTTTTGCCCCTGAAGGCTTCATTGTATCTTTACAGAGAAGAAAAGATGTTTCGCGCTCTTGGACTCACATGCATGATTTGTTGGTGCATGATGCTATTTTGTCCTTTGCATGCTGACCTTCAGTGTATGGGGTGTAAGTATATTTTTATATAGTCCGAGGAACTCCTCATGATGAGGAATAATAATTCCTCCTAATAAACATAATAATTCTTCCTAATAATGAGGAATTCCATATTGGTGCCATATTCCATATGGCAGCACCATATTCTAATTTGAACTTATCCTGTAATCATTTCAGCAGGGACACAAGAATTGCCTATCTCAAACTTGACATTGAACCAGAGAAGAATGGAGCTGTCCTGGCAAAGCAGCAAGAACTTCTCCAGTTACAAGTGTACCATGGCTGCAAACTTCAAACTCAGAGAAATGAAGGTAAACATTCTGTTCATTGAGATAATTTACTGCACATTTTCTGTTTACCTCTTACAGATTTCATTTACCTTGAAAAAAAATTGCATCAGTTGGCTTTAAAATCTGTGACTGTTTGCAGTCTACATCTTGATCTATGAAAAGCTATTGCTGATGCTAGGGTGTATTTGATGTGAAAGAAGCTTCCCAAAAGAAGCACAGAAGTGAGGTTCAGTCACCCAAGAGAAAGGGAGGTGATAACCTGAACTGCAGCTGTGCTGAAGCATGAATGGGAATGTAGCTGCTCTTTGTCTCAGGTGTTGGAGAATTTAGAGGGACACAGATCCTTCAGCTGAAAAGTGAATATTCCAAATGATGTAATGGATTTTCAATGTCTCAAGTTCTTCACCTATTTCTCGGTGAACAAGCCTCTAGGACACATTTTGTTATAAGCTTATGCTATCCTAACAGAAAAGTTGAGGAGATTGTTGCAGAGAGGAGGAGACAGAGAGACAGCTTATTTAGAACAGCAAAGCAGAAGCTTAATTGGAAACATGTACTACAATAATACACCATGCTGTCACTGAAGATTTTAAATTTAATGCCTTAGATATCTTTCTTAACCCCGTGGAGATCAGATGAAGATTTTTGTTTAACCAGGATCCTCTGATTTAATTTCATTTTGGTTCTCCTGTTGATTCAGCGTCTTCTCTTACATCTTTGGGTTAATATTAGCCTTCCTTAATTGTCATATGATGGTGTAGAAATCTCTTTGTGTAGTTGTGCTTTCAGTTACTCAGTTTCATTCTAGATTATCCTCAATTTGTAAAGAAGAGCATAAAACAGCCACAGGCATTTGAGGCATTGGAACAGGCTGCCCAGGGAGGTGGTGCAGTCACCGTCCCTGGAGGTGTTGAAGAACCGTGTGTATGTGGCACTGAGGGATGTGGTCAGTGAGCATGGTGGGGATGGGTTGGGGTTGAGCTTGATGATGTGAGGAGTCGTTCCAAACTTGATCATTCTATGATTCTACATAAACACACTAAATTTTGGCCATTGGAGTTATTGCTGAGTGGTCCTTTCAGATCCAGCACTATCTAAAATGGCAGAGGAAAATCAGAGAAGCAAAATATGTACATGTTATTTTTTAGGTGAAGAACAAATCATGCAGGTTTGAAGTAGAAGATAGCGTGCCTCTGTACAGAGGAGCAGCCTTCACCATTACAGTACCAAAGACAAACATCTCAAAAATTTGTCCATTTTTCCCTGAAGGTAATGCTTGTGGTTTTCTCCTTTTACAATCTTTTGAAGGTAAATAATACCATAGGAAACAGTTCCTTAAACAGTAGTTAAATATTATTTTTCTATTTGAAATATTTGTCTTTTTAAGTCTGTTGAAGCCATTTGTTCTCTAACTGACCATTCTGCAGTTCTGCAATAGAGGTGTTACAAAAAATGTATCAATAACTGTGTTATTCCTTTTCTTGCTAGGGCTCCAAAATGCTGTTAACTTACAGTGGTTTCAGGGTGATTCAAGTAATTGTTCTGGCAAAGACACTAGTGCTTCTGCAGCCGCATGTAGCTGGGTTATTTCAGACTTGGAAAAAAATGATAAGATTAAGTAGTTCATCTTTTCTTAGGGATTCCACAAAGGAAACTTTTTCACAGTGTCCTAAAAAATACAACCCAGGGCACTGCCTTTCAAATACTCCTCCCCATCTGGATCTCAGGTCCAGGCATGCAGGTTTTCCAAGGGGACTCCCATGTTTCTCAGGTGCCTTCACCTGAGGGAAGGGAAGGGAGGGGAGAAGAGGAGAGGGAAAGAGAGGAGAGGAGAGGAGAGGAGAGGAGAGGAGAGGAGAGGAGAGGAGAGGAGAGGAGAGGAGAGGAGAGGAGAGGAGAGGAGAGGAGAGGAGAGGAGAGGAGAGGAGAGGAGAGGAGAGGAGAGGAGAGGAGAGGAGAGGAGAGGAGAGGAGAGGAGAGGAGAGGAGAGGAGAGGAGAGGAGAGGAGAGGAGAGGAGAGGAGAGGAGAGGAGAGGAGAGGAGAAGATACTTTGGAAAGGACCCACAAAAATCAAATTCCACTCCCTGACTACTTTACGTCTAACTCTCAGCCTCTCTTCATAGGACATGCAGTTAGCCTTCTTAGCTTTGGTGCCCTCCTCTGGGCACTTCCAAGTTTCTGAAAGTCCATGTTATGTTGTGGAGCCCAGAAATGCATGCAGAGTTTGAGATGAGGCCACACCAGTGCTAAATAGAGGGGGATAATCACCTCTTTTGACCAGCTGGCCATGCTGTGTTTAATGTACCTCACAGTGCAGTTTGCCCTCTTGGCTGCCAGAGCATGCTGCTGGCGCATGCTGAGATGCTGTCACCAGAACCCACAAGTCCCTCCCTGCTGAGCTGCCCTCCAGCCACTCCTTTCCCAGTCTGCGCCTGTGTCTGGCATTGCTCTGTATCAGATGCAGCACACAGCATTTGCCTTTACTGAACTTCATGCCAGTGATGATTGGCCAACACTCCAATGTGTCTAGACCCCCCTGCATGGCCTTTTGTCCTCCGGGAAGTCAGCAGCGCCTCACAGTTCAGTATTGTGAGCAAATCTGCTGAGGAGACTTTCCACTCCAGCTTCCAGAACACTGATATAAAAGTTGAACAGAAATGTCCCTAGAATTGAGGGACCACTGCCAATGAATGGCTGTCAGCCAGAGATAGTCCATTCACTACAACCATTTGAACTCTGCTGTTGATCCAGTACAACTCCCAGTTTAGTATGAACTTGTTTGCCTCAGGGTTGGACAACTAGTTCAGAATGATGTCATGAGGGACAGTACAAAAAGCCTTACCGAAACCCAGAAAAGTTGTCTGCTGCAATGATTCTCCAGCATGGAGCAGTCCACACATTTTTTCCTCATAATGGACATTGCTGTGTTTGCAGGCATTAATGGGTCAGCCATTGAGAACTTCTCCTGTGTGATTTATGACATTTCCCTCATGAACTGCACTTGGCAGGCAGGCAGGAATGCTCCAGGAGATACTCAATATTTTCTCTACTGGCAGAACTCGAGGTGAGTAGGTCTTCTTGAGTCTTGGGTAGTCCGAATTCTCAACACATCACTATGCCTACATTTAACTAAAACTCCTTGTTATATATCTATTATGTTACCTATAGAGATGATGACCAGACAGAATGTGAACTTTACATTAAAGATGAAAATGACAGAAACGTGGGATGTAAATTCCAAAATGTGACAATTAAAGATAAAACTACTTATTTCCTGGTAAATGGATCCCACAAAGCCTTCCTGATCCAGTTTTATGATAATTATACAAAACTATACACAATTGGTAAGTAGGCACTTTTATTATTGCTGACCCAAAAGGAAAACAAACAAACAAACAAAGCCAGGAATTTTTCTCTGAAGGAAAAAAAAGAACGAGAATAAAACAACTGAATGCAGCTGTTATAGGACTCTATACAGTAGTACAAACTTGATTCCAGTTAGCTGAAAAGATAGCATTCCTGAAATTAACTAAAATGAACAAAGGCAGAGTGTCTGAAGTAACAGCTTGGGGAACAGTGTGAACAATTCCTTAGGACTGAAGAGGTGAGAAACAATTGTGAAAAATGTTCTGAGGGCAACTTTCCTGTGGGCTTATTTCTCCACCTCAGCAATTCCAAATTTCTATGAGAACCGCAAGGACATGGTGCCTTAAACCAGAGGGAGGATTCAACTGGAAAATTAAGAGTGTATTAACTAAATAAGTGAGTACCCACAAGTTTAAGTTCTGATAGAGATTTCAGACAGGATCCAGTTGCCTAAAACCTTGCCTCTAGTGCCATTTGAGACACCTTCAGACATCCAGAAGTTTTGTAGATGTAGGTCAGATGTTCAATAGTTGTAGCATCTTAGTCTCTAGTTTTCATACTGTGTTTTACCTACTGTATTTAGCAGATAGATAACATTTCCTTCTACCATCAGCATACAGCTGAACTAGTTGCCTCAGCTTCACGTACATTTTGCTAGGAACACGTGAGTTGTAGCTGATTATTGATCGTGAATTTCATTTCATTCCAGAAAGACTCCCTCCTCCACTGAACGTCACTGCCAACTGTACTAGCAATCCAGGAGGTTGCATAATTACATGGCAACAACCCCTTCTAAGTCATGTGGAAAACACAGACTGTTTTGAGTATGAAATAAACATACAAACTAAGGTAAAAACAATGTACTGGCTTGCATTTGGCACCATATCTAGCTAAAGAACATGCAAATTTCTGTTCTCGGTTTATTGACTTCTATCTGATAAGCTATGGCATGTTCTACTGCTCCAGTCTTGCAGCTTACACTGCTTCTGATTTTTTTTCAAACTAATATATCATAGAATAAGAGAATCGCAGATTCATAGAATGCTTTGGGTTGGAATGGACCTCTAAAATGGTAGTTCCAACCTCCCTTCTGTGGGCTACTACTCACTAAATCAGGCACTGGGTGAGTGGAGGTACCAGGGATACCCACATGGTGACAGAAGGTAAGACACATTCTGGAGGGGCCATCTGAGGCCAGGCAAAATACTATGCAGCAGCTGTAAGGGGCACTACAAGGCTAAGTGAAGGCAGCTCAGTAACACCCTCCTTGTCTACAGCAGACCGATGATTTCCATCCATGTCCTAGATCGAGAAAGCTCATCTGACAATGAATAATGGGGAAATACTAATCTTTATAATGCATAATACACAACAGGTTTATTTTCTGAAATGAGACATTCCTTCCAATAACATTTTCCTTTTTCATAATGCCAGCTGTCCCACTGACATTACATGTAAATGTTTCCTGGATACCATCTTTTCTGGAATCCTTACCGCAACCACTGCTGGTGATAGTGCTTGCTAATTTTTACACCTATGCATTTTATATTAAATATTTCAAAATGTTAGGGTTCTTCAGTCCACATTAATACTTTTTTTTTTTTCTTGTTAATTAAATTTTGATTGCATTGAATGTGTAAGTAAATATTCACGGTGATTTTGAATATGAATCACTCTGATGTTAAGGTGGCAGTTGGACTCTTCTCCCAGTTGACTAGTGACAGGACAAGAGGGCATAGCACGAAGTTGTGCCAGGGGAGGTTCAAGTTTGGATATTAGAAAAAATTTCTTCTCCAAAAGAGTGGTCAGCTGCTGGAATAGGCTGTCCAGGGGGGTGGTTGTGTCATTGGAGATGTTCAAGGAATGTTTAGATCAAAAAATCATGAAGCCATCAGAATGGCTTTGGGTTGGAAGGGACCCCAAGGATCATCAATTTCCAACCCCCCCGCCATAGGCAGGGCCACCATCTTCCATGTCTAATACTAGACCAGGTTGCTCAGGGCTCCATCCAACCTGGTCATGAACACCTCCGTGGATAGAGCATCCACAACCTCTCTGGGCAGCCTGTTCTAGGACCTCATCACTCTCTCTGTAAAGGACTTCCCCCTGACAGCCAATCTAAGTCTTCCCTCCTTAAGCTTGAAACCATTCCCCCTTGTCCTTTCACTATCTACCCTAGTAAAAAAAGTTGATTCCACTCCTTTATACAAGCTCCTTTTAAATACTGGAGGGCAGCAACAAGGTCTTATCATAGCCTTCTCTTCTCCAGGCTGAACAAGCCCAGATTCCTCAGCCTGTCTTCATAGGGAAGGTGCTCCAGCCCTCTGGACCCTCTCCAACAGCTCCACATCTTTCCTGTAGTAGGAGCCCGAGACCTGGACACAGTACTCCAGATGGGGCCTCATGAGGGCAGAATAGAGAAGGACAATCACCTCCCTGTCCCTGCTATCCACTCCTCTTCTGATGGAGCCCCAGATCCCACTGGCCTCCCTAGCTGCAAGAGCACACTGCTGGCTCATGTTCAGTTTTTCATCCATTAGAACCCCCAGGTCCTTCTCTGCAGGACTACTTTCAAGGAGTTCTTCTCCCAGTCCATGTACATATCTGGGATTACTCCAACCAAGAGCAAAACCTTGCACTTTGCTATGTTGAACCTCATTAGGTTCACAAAGACCCACTTTTCAAGTTTGTCAAGGTCCCTGTGAATGGTATCCCTTCCTTATAACATGTCAATCAAACCACTCAGCTTGGTTCCATTGGCAAACTTGTGGAGGGTGCACTCAAGCTCATTATTGATGTCATTGATGAAGATGTTGAAGAGCACCAGTCCCAAGACAGACCCCTGGAGGACACTACTTGTCACTGGCCTCCACCTGGACATAGTGCTATTCACCACAACCCTCTGGTTGTGACCATCCATCCAATTCCTTATCCACCGAAAAGTCTACCCCTCAAATCCATATCTCTCCAATTTATAGATAAGTATGTGGTGTGGGACCATGTCAAAGGCCTTGCATAACTCCATGTAAATGACATCGGTCACCTTCCCTTTGTCCACCAAGGCCATTATTCCATCATAGAAGGCCACCAGGTTGGGCAGGCATTACCTTCCCTAGGTAAAGCCGTGCTGTCTGTCTTGGATCATCTTCTTATCCCTCATGTGCCTTCTATGTTGTACTAAAGGACATGGTTTAGTGGGGAAATATTGGTCATAGATGGATGGTTGGAGTGGATGATCTCTGAGGTCTTTTCCAACCTTAATATTCTATGTCCATCAGAGTTCAATTGGAAGGAAAATAAATCTGTGGTTCATACCAGTTTTGTGCTCTGTGTTATCAACCAATTGCGAAGTTATAGCCTCCAGAACTGCTTCTTTAGAGGATTTTTTTTTTTTCTTAGATAATTCAGATATTCACCGGCTGGATGGGAGTGTGCATTGTATAGAAGCACATACAGCTCACAGCCACTGGCATCATTTATTTTCTTCCTTTCCTAAAATCACAGAATCACAGGATGGCCAGGGTTGGAAGGGACTTCAAGGATCATGAATCGCCAGCTCCTTTGCCACATGCAGAGCCACCAACCTCCCCATTTAATACTAACCAGGCTGCCCAGAGCCCCATCCAATCTGGCCTTGTACACCTCCAGGGATGGGGCATCCAAACCTCTCTGGGCAGCCTGTTCCAGCACTTCACCAAAATGAAACAGAGGAAGACAAAACTCTGAATAAAGTGCTATATTTTGGGATGTTACTGGGGTTTTATCTCCATTTGTATTTCACTTTGAAATTATAAGCAAAAAACCAGGGAAAAATAGAGGGAGAAATATATGATTATTTGGCAAGAAAACAACAACAACAAAAAACTGAGTTTGTCTTTGCTTTGCAGTACAAGATCCCAGAAGAGAAAAAGGATCCTCCCGTAATCGTAAGTATTCTTATCCCAACAAATCTGTACTTTTGCCCTGTTTATCATGTAAACACTGTAATATAGAATATAGGTGTCCCTGGAACTGTAGCTTTTTCATCAACATAAGAAATTAGGAATATATTCTCCCATGGCAGCATCGTGTAAGCTTTGAGATCTTCAAAACGAGTGAAACCCTTGCAAATGGGCAGTTCTTGGCCTTGCAAGCATCCTCAACTGCCTCCAGGCTTTGCATTAAGCACCACAAGGCCTGGCAATCCATACTTGGTGTTGGATTGTCTCAAAGGCATCAATTCCATTTGACAAGAAGAGACTCTATTCGGAGAAGTCTTTGCATGATTTGCTTCTCCAGTTTCAGCTTTCTGTCCTGTTTTATATTTTTTAGGATATATACGTGACAAAGAAAACAAGATATCCTTAACAGAATAAATTTAAGCACCAACAAATTCCAAAAACCATCTTTAAATTCCAAAACAGTCAATGGTAGGATGAACTAATGGGTACCAGGGTTTGAAATTTGGGGGAAAGATCATCTAACCCTTTACCTGCAAAGTCATAAAAATAAGTTTCATTTACAGAACCCGTATCAGGAAATTATAACTCAAATTTTATTAATAGTTGCCGATGGAGTGAAATACAGCTTCTAACTCTGATTGCAGGTAACTGAAAACAAATACGAATTCAAAAGTTACAACGCAGAGAAAAAAAGCATTCTGAAAATCAGAGCACGTGGAAAAAGAAGATGTTCTGTAAACAGAAAGTGGGGGGAATGGAGTAACCCTGTAGAGTTCGGTAAGACTGAAATATTCTTGTAATCTAGGATGGGTTTGGGGATTTTTTCTGTATTAATGTGTTTGCAAACTCTTCTCTCTCACACTCATGGATAAGAATAAAACCTTAATTCTCATTCGGTGACATGGAAAGAGCAGGATAGAAATTATTAATGTTGATGAAGTGCTCAAATCCTATGGCAACAGATGCTGGAAGCCCATGAGTAACTGTGCTTGTGATGGCAGCTGTGACTGAGACAGCAGCTGTGACTGAAACAGCAGGAGCACAGAAAGCAGCTGAGGTTTACCCAAACTTTTTTCCTTCAGAAGTTCTGAAAGTCCCCTTAAATCTTCAAATTCATAGAATCACAGAATGGTCTGAGTTGAAAAGAACCACAGTGATCATGTAGTTTCAAACCCCTGCTATGTGCAGGGTTGCCAACCACCAGATCAGGCTGCCCAGAGCCACATCCAGCCTGGCCTTGAATGCCTCCAGGGATGGGGCATCCACAGCCTCCTTAGGCAACCTGTTCAGTGCTTCAGTGCATGCTCAAATTCCTCTCCTTCCTTCTGAATCTTCCTACCCCCTGCTTCTTTGACGTTCCTTTAACAGTCCCACCTATATCCCGACTTTTCATTCTGGTTCTCCTCACTGTCTGGATTTTTTATTTTTCTCTGCACTTTAAATGTTCAGAATGTTCCAAGGTACATTAAATACATCTGAACTTTTGATCAAAGATCAGTAAGATACCAAGTGGAAATCCTTTAGATGACTCAAGAAGTTCAGGTACAATCGGAGCTAACACTTTCTGGCAGACCACTGACATTTCTCTCTGATATGTTTCAGGTGAAGAGAAAGATTATTTTATTTATGTGATTTTAGTTCTGATAGCACTCGGAACAATCCTATTGACGCTGCTCCATTACTGCCTTTGCAAGAGGTAAACCAACCTTCTTAACATAGGAATTCTGATGAAACATCCCTCCTACCTGCACAACCTTGAGGAATCTCATCAATCTATCTGATCAGTGTAATTCAGGATTACCAGCAGTATGGTTTTGGATGGCAGTATGGCACACTATGGGGGGACAAATTGTTAGACTTAGTGAATCGTTCCACCAGATCCTAAAGAAAAACATTTTTTGTCTTTATTTCAAAGCATTTCACAGTATTTTAAAATCACTGACTTCACACAGCACCAGACAACAGGGAATTGAGACAGATGAATGCGTCCTTACTTTGATCAAACTTCTTTAGTGGTAGAGGATATTTGTGTCAAGTGGGTTATTTTAAGTCTTGTTTAATAAGTCATTTACTGTAGCTTCAGTCACAAAGTAAGCTGAGTTACCCAAAGGAGCAGTGTAAAAACAGTTAATCCTCAGTCAACGTTCAAAGCCTTTTCCTTCTTCTTAGCGATCTATTAGGCATTAAATCGCACTCTTAAGGTTCAACACAGAATTTACTGTTGTGCCACTAGCATTTTATTTACCATCCCATTTTCTATCCAAAGGTATTGCAGTTCAAAAAGAATATTTCCTCCTATCCCACAACCAAGAGGCAAATTTGATATACCAGCTGAGGAAGATATCCAGGTATGTACACCTGTTCAATCATATTGGCTAACTGTAACCTACCATAAGCTGCAGGCATGAAGAAATGCTGTGTAAATACGAGACCCATATCAGGTCCATTAAAAACTGATTTGGCCCTTTGCAAAGTTTGTGTCCTACATGACTGCTGAGTATAGCAGTTATCTTCTGTGTATTCACAGCCATATTTTACAGTTGAAAATGATTGAGACTAGTAATTTTTGGAGAAGAGAATGCTCTGGGGAGACCTCATTGTGGCTTGAAAGGAGACAATGAACAGGAGGGGGAAAGACTGTCTACTTGGGTGGATAGCAATAGGACAAGGGGAAATGCCTTTAAACTGAGACAGGAGAGGTTTAGGTTAGGCATTAGGAGGAAGTTTTTCACAGAGATTAATGACACACTGGAACAGGTTGCCCAAGGAGGCTGTGGGTGCCCCATCTCTGGAGGCATTCAAGGCCAGGCTGGATGTGGCTCTGGGCAGCCTGGTCTGGTGGTTGGTGACCCTGTACATAGCAGGGGGTTGAAACCAGATGATCATTGTGGTCCTTTTCAACCCAGGCCATTCTGTGATTCTATGATGCACAAAGCAGGTGGATGCGGTTCTTGAACTGTTGCATGGGCACAGTTGCAGGCAGCAGCCAACCAGCAATAACTGCCAGAGTTCAAGATAACTTCAATTTCACAAACACCGAGGCTGTGAAGATCATTTTCAGCTCTTACCTGTCTGACTCTCCTTTGTCTAATTTAGTCTTAAAAATGAATTTTATCTCCTTTCTCAGACACAATTTATACTTGACTACTGTAATTCTTCAAAATGGATCAAGTTCGAATGTGTTATGCAAGGAGTTTCTTCCCTGAATAACAAGGCTATCTCTTCCTACTACTTAAATCCAACACATTTATGAACTATTTTGAACTATACGCATCCCTTTGCTGATTCTGCTTTCCGAAGATTACATTTCATCATCTTGTCCCCACTTGCTCTCATGACCTTTCACATTTACTGTTTGTCCTGTTTCTCAAGAACTTATTCCTGATCGCTGAAAGATCTCATGATTTGTAACCCTAAATGCACTGTACTGAGTTCACAGTTGCTTCTTTAAAGCTTATGTTAAAAGTACCACCTGCTTTCCTTTTCAGATTTGGGTCAGATCCTACCAACCAACTCAGTTCATTAGAGAATTTGTATTCCTACAATCATCCCACTTTATTTCAGTGTTCTTCCTTTAATTCTTGGTCATCTTGCCCATCCCTTTCTTTGCAAACATTTCTTACGTATCAAAACAGCAAGACCAGGGTGCCTTCGGAACTGTGTATGTAATATTTTTTAATGCTTCCTGTGAACACCAACAATTAACCTGTAGTTTATCGTATGTTAATGGCTATTCTTTCTCCCCTCTTCTCAGACAGAGAATGCACTTCTATCTCAAATAAGTTGTACTGAGGAAATAACTGTGATTGAGGAGATGACCTAATCTTCCAGAAAGAAAACAGATTTGGATGCAACACAAAAATTACACAACCTCCTAATAATTTCCAATTATTTACGGTGTTCTTCACAGCATGGACTAGAAATGAGTATCACCTATTGAAACCATTTCCCCACACTAAAAACAAAACAAAACCCACAAAAATGTTTCTTTTCCCTTTGTTCAGAAGCAATGCCTGGCAACCAAGCTCCTCCAAAAACACGTGCTATGATTTGCTTAAAAGTTGCTGAGGTTCTCTTCACCATCTAAGACAAAGCCTTTCATCAACAACATAGCAGAAATGTGGTATAATTTCTTCCGTTCATTGCTGGAGCAATTATTTCCTGAATTAAGAGTAGTGCTATAGGAAATCAAAATGCTATTTCCCCAACTTAACATTTTATATATATACTCCCAAGAATTTTCTGGAGCAGAAAGTAGCTAAAAGTTGCCCTTCTACCTTGTAACTCTGATACCAAACTCTTAAAATATTCAGTGAACCTTATGGCAAATAAATAAATAAATAAATAAAATCTTGCTAAAAATAACTAAGATGGGCTGCCAGTCAGTCGTGTAATGAGCTCAGCATCTCCAACAGCAATGTGAATCTCTGCAATACCAATAAGAACTTCAGCGGCACAGCTACAGACTTCAATAAATCCAGCGTAACAATCACAAGATTTGGAATCAAATCTGTAAAACTAGGTTTTAAATAGTTCATCACACCAGTCTACGTCCTTCCAAGTGTGCAGATCTTGTTTCCAAACCTATTGAAAATACAGTATTTTCTGTTAAACAAATTCAAAATCTTTTTCTGCTGAAAGTATTTTCCAAAAGATCCACATTTCACCAATTAAGTGCTTCAATAAGGCAGAAAACAAATGCTTTTTTTAAAAGTCTCATTTATTGTTTGCCTCTTATGTTCCCACACTGCATAATCACATTGCAAAATGCTGCTGGATGACTAAGGGAAGCAACATACTAGAAAAATAAACACCAAGCAGTACATGCTGTAATGCACAGCAGAGGTAAGTTGCATTTCCACTTAAATAACAACCCACACTTGCATTGATTTATTTGCTTGCTTCTCCTGATTAACACCTAATTTTGTTGGAGGTGGGACGGTGGACAAAAAAAGAAATCTGCCCTTTTCAAGGGCTGCTAGTTAATTGTCATGCTTGCTTCTTCCTCACAAAGTTCGGCCACCATGCACTCACAGTAAGGTTATGTGAGGGACTCTATTGTTATATACCTACCTTTTAAGCCACTGATGTAGAAAATAAACCTATGAAATATATCTATATAGGCAGATTCTTTCTCTGTCCCTTCAGATCAATAGAATTACAATTGAAACAGCAGCTTAATTGGAAAGTTCAGCATCAAGTGACCTGTCCACACCACAAGAGAGCTACCATTACCAAACAGGGTTAAAAACAAACAAACAAAAAAACCCCACTTGCAGTAGGTACATAAAATTTGCCATTAGCCTGTGTACAAAGTAGCTGTGTAATGTACTTACATTCATAGAAAGATGCTAAAAGCAGTGCTTGTGCCATGGAACATCACATTGGTACAAACTACCAGCCAAAGCCATGTTGCAAATTTAAATATCGTCTTGAATAGCAACCTCAGAAGGCACACAAAAAAACCTGATAGCTCAGTCAGCCTTCAGTGACTCATTACAATGACATTTTCACAAATACAGGGAGAGTTGTAAGAATGTACTGAAAGATGAACACCTTGTTCTCATTTACTGGTCCCCCATCACATCTTTGCAGATTACAAAGTACAAAAGTAAGATTATGTACATATAAAGAGCACAGATTTAGTTTCTCGTTTCTGCTTTTTGAGATGTTTTTAGTCTTCAAGCAACCCTTAAAATTGGACATTCAGTCAATATTGAAGGCTGACTTACTTTTACCTTTATTTTACAGCCACACAGAACCACACATATTCCCTGTTACATACCCATATCGACTTCACCTTTCAGAATGAATTTCAGATTAAATTCTTTTTTTTTCAAAGCTACTTCTAGCCACTTCTAGAGATAAAAGCTTAAGTGGCATAATCAACACTTCCAAATAGCAGCAACAATACTCATTCAAAGGTTAAAAGCATTTAACCAGGTTCCTGGTTTTTTGCATGAACATCATGTGTTGCTTCCTATATTGATTTAAAAAAATAGATTCCATTTTAAGACTTTTGCCAGGAGCAAAAAGCATTCATTACTTTTTGATTGCGCTTGGAACTTTGGGTAATTGTAATACTACAACAGAAAAACCCTCATTTTACATCATATACAAAGCTGCAAATCAATTTCTAACAATCATGCTGAAAGCCACTTGCAGCAGCCCATCATACACTATTAGGCACAAAGAAGGGGAGTGGTTTCTATGAGTACAACCCATGCTTTTTTCCCTCAAGGTTCTCACATTCAGGTTTTCCTAAAACAAAAATCAAACATCCTGTTACAGTGCAGTGTAAGTGTATCAGAGGAACCATTATCTGAAACAAGTTTTCAAAGAAACGACGCTTTCCCAAAGCTTTGATGTAATAATTTCAACACAGACAGAATAAGTATGTTTATTGTTTTACAGCAGAATGCCCCAATTTAAGAACATAATTGCTAGATGTTCAGCTGTGCAAAATGGTACATAGTGCTTCAGTACAAGTGGAAAAGAACATGATTTGTTAGCAAGTATTTTCAAATACAATTTTATGGTCCTAAAAGATAGGACTTGAAACTGAGGACTGATCCACAGGCATACTTTTCTTTCTGCCTAAATTGGACCCAGCTACTTTGGACCCAGAACCACTGTCACTGATTTTTCATCACTGAAAAAATCATCACACTGAACTGCCAGATTCAGTGTCTTCATGCAGGTTACCGTGAAATGGATCAGTCCTCTATGTCAGTTTCCAGCCCTATCTACAAGTATCAGCTGGCTCCGATAAATAAAACTCACAGGAATTTCTTGAAGGTCAATGGTCCATAATGGTAGTTATTCTACATGATCTGCTCAACTTGATTTCCAATTTTAGTTAGGCTGTTTAAATGACTTTCTTGAATTCATCGTACAGCACGAGCACGAAAGCACCCCCCATGCCTCTGAGAACATTAGACCATGCACCCTTGAAGAACGCCTTTCCTCCCTCATCCCTTGCAATCTTCCGCCAGCAGTCAATCGTTCCAGAGTACATGATATCAGCTGTAGAGAAAGAGCAAAGAGGGGTTTTTTAACTTCTGTATTTCAGGTGACTCTAAAAGTAGCTGTTCTGCTTCCCCCAGTATGCCCCATATCTCACTTTAACACACTACCAGTTCAGGCAACAGAAAAAAAAAATCTTCCCGGTTGCTTACCTAGTTATTAAAAGTTATGTCTTAAAATAAGAGTGTTAATTGCTCTTATGACAATTACACTGTCAACTACTTGCTTACACTTAGTTTGTCAACACAAACAACCAATCCATTTACTCAATTTATTAAAAAACAAACAAACAAACAACCTCATCATAATTCTTCACAAACACAAGTCAAAAGCCTTATACTACTTGAATTGCCTCCTACTACTAGAACATACGAACAGTTGAATCAGATTTACATGGTAAGAAATCATAAGCACTAAGGGATCACCATTAGCAGCACTTAAGTATTGATATGGTAACAGCCTACCTCCTTTGCGTCCTGACTGCATCATCATCCTACGCCGCACTGTGTCAAAAGGATAGGAAACCACACCAGCCACAGCAGTCACTGTCTGTGCAATCATCCAGCTGATAACAATGTGAGTATTTCTGGGATCTGGCAGCATGCCTGCAAAAAAGAAGCTCATTAGCTTTTTAGCTTTAGCTAGCTCCTTCAGTTCACAGCACAACAGCTACTTTACCACAAAAAACTACCATGAAGCACTGTAAAGCAATGCTTTAAGCTGCAACAAGACACTTAAAACACATTAAGCATACTGAAGCAACAGAGAAATAAATAAGGAAACACACAGCATTTCCTTGTCAGTAATCAAAAAGCGTAACATTTAGGTACCAAGATCCTTTCAGACAAGTGTTCTAATTATTCTCTACTTATCTATACAAGTAAACATCATCAAATACATCAGTACCTATAGTTCAGAGATCAATTAACTCTACATCCAGAAGCCAAGCTTAACAAACAAATGCTTTACAGAAGAACAGCTCAAATTCTGATAAATACATTTGAATTGTTCTAACAGAACTACAAATACTCAGCAAGAAATCACAAACTTTGAGTACTTGCATACTGTCACCAAAACACACTACTTCCATTAGGAAAAAGTGCTGTGTTCTAAAGGCAAGCGTAACAGGAAAATTCTAAAGCAGCCTGATCCATCAATGCATGCTAAAAATCTTTGCCTTTGAAGTGTTGCTCTCCATGCAATGTCACCCCTCTTCCACCACACTTACATAAGTATATAAGTCAAAAACAGAAAACAGCACAGGAAAACCGGCAGAAGTAGGCAACACAGTTCTACAAACAAGTTTATCAATACCCTCCTGAAACTTTACCTTTTGCTGTATCATAGATTCCAAAGTAGGCAGCTCTATAGATGATGATGCCCTGGACAGAGACATTGAACCCTTGATACAAGCCACGCAGACCATCAGACTTGGTAATTTTGACTAAACAGTCCCCGAGACCAGAGAATTCTCTGTCTGCACCAGCTTTGCCGACATCAGCTGCCAAACGGGTTCTTGCAAAATCCAAGGGGTAGACAAAGCAGAGGGAAGTGGCTCCAGCTGCACCACCAGAAGCCAGGTTGCCAGCAAAATATCTCCAGAACTGAGTGTGCTTGTCTACTCCTCCTAGGAACACCTGCTTATACTTATCCTTGAAGGCAAAGTTGAGAGCTTGGGTCGGGAAGTATCTGATGACATTTGCCAAATTTCCTCGCCAGAAGGACAGCACTCCTTGTTCCTTTGGGATGCGCACTACACAATCGATGATACCCTTGTACTGCTTATCAGCAGCAATTTGCTTACTTGCATGTTGCACCTGTGAATAAAAACATGCATTTCATAGAATCACAGAATGGCTCATGTTGGAAATGATCCTAAAAACCCTCTGGCTCCAACCCCTCAGCAATGGGCAGCACTGCTCTCCAATATGCTTTTGGCTCTATGCCTCAGCCAGCCCTCACTGCAACTGGGCCTGAGTCTGATCTCAGCATTACGCAGAGAGCTGGTGGCCTGACGGCCTACAGAGACAAGGCCATCACAGCAGTAAGCCTGCTGTAACAGCAAAAACTCAATGCTCTGGGTCACTCTGAGCCTTAAGACTACGACTTGTTGTTTGTTCGTAACTTGGTATAGACAAAACGCTGAACAAACTCAGAAATTAAAACCTTATCTTACACACAGACAAAAGGGGTTGCATACAGAGCCTCCAGATAAGATTGAACTGCACACAGAAGATTATCTAGCCCAAAACAACCCTAAGAACTAGCGAAGCTCTGCACAACCCTAAGAACCAGCGAAAAGTCCAAAACACCTCTCCAGCTCTCCCGCAGCTCAGGACCAGGCCCGTTACGAAGGTCACCTTGGGGCGCGGGGTCAGCCCGGGCCGCTCTCGCAGGCCCCGCCCTGCCGCCGGCTCCACGTGAAGGTCACCAAGATGGCGGCGCGCATGCGTACTCCCGTCCCGCGCGAGGAAGTGACACCGAGAACCGCCCCCCCGGCCGCGCCCCGCCCCCGCCGCGCCCCGCATAGCGGAACCGGCTTCCCCGCCGCGCCGCGCGCCCCCCGCCCACGTGACCTCACTAACCGCCCCCTCGCGCGCGCGGCCTTTGTTCCGCGCGCGCGGCTGCCGCCCGCTGTCCCCTCAACTCGTACCCTCCGCGTCTCCTCAGGCCCTCAGGGCGGCCGCCGGCGAAGGTCACGGCCGCCCTTTCTCCTCCCGGGCCCGGCCGCGCCGCTCACCTGCAGCAGGAGCTTGACCCGCTCGATGGGCGCTACCGCCGTCTTGCTGATGGCGGCGGCGACGCCGCCGGCCAGGAAGTCCTTGAGGAAGGAGATGGCCTGGTCCGCCATGTTCACTCCGCAACCGCCAGGGAAGAAACGCCGCCACTGCTCGGGCAGAAAGGGCGGGCCCGCCGCCGCGCAACAGCTAAATGCCGGGCCCCGCCGGCCCCACCCCCCAGCTCCTGATTGGTCGCGCCGCCTCGCGGGCGGGGCCTCGGCGCCGGGTGGGCGGGGCCGAGTTGCGTCGGGGCGGTGGTTGCGGTCGTTGCCGTGCCCCTCCGGCGCCAGTGTTACGGCGCCGCGTCGCAGCGCCCGTGTCGCGCGGCAGCCTCGGCCGGAAGGCGCCGTCGGAGCCTTTGTGAAGGGCGAGAGGCCGCGCCTCTTCCCGGCCCGGGGAGCGGCACGGTGCCGTACCCGGGAGGGGTGCTGCGGGACCCCATCGGCGTCAAAGAGCTTAAGCCTTGGCTTCTGGCAGGGAGAATGGGAACGTGCAGTCCTCCGCTCAGTGCTCAACCTCCGGTGATGTGCGAAGCCCTTCCGCAGGCTGACAGCTGTCAGCGCGGCTTCGGCCCTACGGACCCATCGTCCGTCAGCAATTTCTGGCAGTGTTACGCGCGCTGAAAGCAAAATTATATATCTCATAGCCGAACTGGTGTCTGAAATTGTGCTAGCTGCCGGGCATTCCCTTGCGTCTCTTGTAATTGCTTTCACTTTTAATGGATGCTTCCTGCAAACGTAAATAAAGCCAGGCTTTCTTCTAAACAGATGACTACTCAATTACTAAACCACAGAGAGCAGCAATGCATGTGTCCAAAACCAGCTCACACACACACATGTTGTGCAGGAGGTCAAAAAGAGCAACTCAGGCCAGGTGTTGTGAGAACAGAACGTGCCTGGCGCACTTCCACTTCATGGACTGTCACGTGTCATTGCACATTTTATTGCATGTAGAAAGATGAAATAATCGTACGCTGCTTTATATTCTGATCCAGGATAGGGAGGTAGAGAAAAGACTCCCCTGCTGACTGACAGAAGGTCACACACAAGCTGTGTGACAGGACCGCAGTCTGGATATGCGTAATGAAAGGCCATGGTGCATGTTCTCAGGCACACGTGGCTTAAAAAGCTGTTCTTCTTTGAAGGAAAAAAAGCGTCATAAGTAAATATTAATTCTCTCACAGTGCAATACCCTGTGTGTAATTCTCTAGGCTGGCACTTTTTTATCTATGAAGTTTTCTATTGATTAATAGAGAACTTTGTGCTTTAGGTGGTGTTGGTTTGCAAAATGAAAGTAAAATGCATCTGATACGTAACCATTCAGTCAGTAGTTGTCCTATGCTGTTCTGTTCACCTTGGGACCTCAGACGCATCTGACTGGGGCAGATCTCATTTTTTCTTTAGCACCATTCATTTCCCGCTGCCTCTGTACTGCTTTGTTGTTGATTTTTTTCCTGTTCTTTATCTAATGTCATATTCTATCCACTTTTTTTAAGAGCTCACAAATTAAGTAGGGCTAAAATGAAGGAGGATGTTCTTAAACTAAACAAAGCACCCCCATACCTCACCTCCAACCTCCAATTACAGATTAGATGAGCCCCCCCCCCCCCCCCAAAAAAAAAAAAAAAAAAAAAAAAAGTGAAACTTTTATGTAAACACCTTTCCCAGAAACCCCACAGAACGCTGAGGAGTCTTTTCTAATGCTCCTGAGAAGCTTCTGCTTTAGTTCTTCCAAGCTTGACTTCACCATCATGATAGTGCTGTTTCCTGACTTTGTTACATAGTTAATGCTTGCCTGCTAACAAGGTGCATGCCTAATGAGTTCTATAAAATAGCAGCGAGATAAGCAGCAGTCACATGCATCCCAGGTAACGTCAAACACCTTTACTTATCTGTGACTTACAGCATTACATGAATCATCTGGTGCAGAAGCTTCTGATTGTTTGGTTATGTAGCAACTGACAAGACTAGAGCAAGATCCCATCTCCTAGCACAAATGTTTTGAGTGAATTCCAAATATCCTTGTCCATTACGCCTACAAATTATCAGTACATAATCCATGGTCCCCAAAAGCAAAAAGCCAAGGGAAGTCACTGAAAGCAAGAGGGCTTCTTTGTCCTCTTCAGCAGAGATACCTAAGCAAGCGAAAACGGAGGAAGACTGGTTTCTGCTTTAGCGCAGCATTCTTCTGGTCATTCTGAATACTCCTCAGCACAATTAGATACGATGTATTCTTGCAGAGGGTTTTTTTGTTTTTGTTTTTTTTCCACTCGGGTTTTGGAATTGTTTTTTAAGTTATCTCATTGATTGAAAATGTTTTTTAATTAGAAAGCAGTTCTCCTTGATCTTTTGTTAATGGCAAGCTTTACTGATTTGCTCTCACAGGTAGAAGACTGTGCCACAACCGGCAAGTTTAGGCGTGGGAAGAGAGGGTAACCCACTAGTGATAGATTCAGTTTCACCAACGCAATTCTAAGTTTTATCACAGATTTCCACATACAATGAATGAAGAAACATTTGTATATTAATGAACACTTGGTATCATGTCTCTTCCAACACATCTTTGTAAATGAATGTAGCCAGAAGAACTGTGTTTCTTTCCTTAGGCAAATTATTTCCATAGCCCCCAACATGATGCAAGTAGCTCAGTGGAGAAAACATGAGCCTGTAGCTAACAACTACAGCAATGTGACCATTCTGACTGAGTTACTAAGAAGACAGGCCCTACAGTCAAGGAGCACTGTAATCAAGGAGAAAAGACAAGAGAAGGCAGTCTGGGAAATAGTTCTGGATGTGTAAAAGGGCAGAAGAGTTATGGTAGGGACAGCTAGCAGCTCTAGCATTTCAAGCTAAACCTTGTCTCTATATATGCAATAAGCCCAGCTGTTTGAAATCCTGCTGTGCCCAGATAGTTTCTAACTGTATAAATAGCAGAGACAGCTGTGGAACAACGAGGAAAAGAGGTGAGCAAAAAGGGAGAAACTACTCCAGACTGCATTTGGAACATTTCCTTTTAGTCAAACAGTAGGCTGTGAAATAGGAGACAGTGAATAGCAGAAGATATATACTGAAGGAAAAAAAAAAAAAAAAAAAAAAAGATGCAAAGTATATGAAGAATATCAAAGAAGGGAAGCAAAATGCAAAGCTATAGGTGAGGTATGGCTTTTTTTTTTTTTTTTTATACAGTAGAAAGTGTAAAATAAAAATAGTATTAAAAAGGCTGTGATTGGAGTATTGAAACTGTACCTGCATTAACCTTATGAAACAGGGACAAAGTGATGAGTGTTCATCTAAAAGTTGGACTCAATTTGCATCCACCATGGAAAAACTGATTTCTCAGCAATGTCAATGTGTGGAGCTGCTAACAGCACATTTCTGATTTGTATTGTGTTGTGTGACTACAATTTCAGTGCCATCAAATCATTCCAGAAGAACTGTTATTTTTGAACACTGAAAGCTTCTCAAGTTCAAAATAAATGCAATCAATTGCTTCCTCTTTTTAAATGCAACTTCAAAAAACAAAGCATTTATTGTTTACATTATTGGGAAACAATATATTTGTATAATTACAAAACATCAAATATAATCCAGATTCTATGACTAAATATTTTTTCCTATACCTTAATGCAGAGAACAACATCTAACAAGTTTCCTGTCAGTTTGATTTTGACTTTAGAGAATCCATGTTGTTCCAGTAAGCTTCGATATTCAGAGCCACTTCTTTCCTTTCCCTCTGTCTGCACAAGCATGTTCAAAGACTGAAGCAAAGCTGTGCTCCTGTTCTTCTTCTCATCATCCAATACCATTTCAGCCAGCAAAATCCCACAGCCTAATTCAAAAACAAATGCATACAACAGTACTAACCCACTATCAACCAGACAATTTCTGCTAAATTGTACCAAGGGGACAAACAGTGGATGGCATGCATTACAGAAGCCACAAAGCAGCCAGGTTTTTTGTTTGTTTGTTTTTATATGATATTTTTGGTGGGAGCGATCAAGGGTTGAGGGCAGAACTCGAATAATTTGTTCACACACAGCCTCACTTCCAACTCAGAACATTCAGTGATTCTACAAGACTGCAGCTTCTTAGAGAAAAGATTAAGACTTGAGGATAATATTGCTAGCTGAGACCTCTGTGTTACTATCAGGTGTCATAAAAGTCCTTCTGAAAGCTTATTAATAAATACCCTGCTTCATCACCATATCATTATTAACCTCAGTAAATGCAGCCTCAAGCCCTGTATCCTGTGGTGAACAGGTGCTTCACAAAGAAAAAGGATTTGCCAGGTGTGTCTGAGGTGAACCTGAACCTACATTCTCTCTCACCCATATGATCTTCTTAATTTCTGAATGCTTTAATACAGATGTATTTCAGCTAGTTATCAAACACTATCCATTACAACTTTTGTAAAAAGCAAACCAAACAAGCCAAAAAAAGAAAAAAAGGCAGTTTTCTTTCACAGACAGCGTCAGGATAATCTGAAAAAACATACCTGGAGAGAACAACCAGTCTGGGAAGAACACCTTCAAATGTCAGGCACAGTAAGCTAAATTACCACAGGGGAAACATACCTCTACAATTGATGGAAATTTACTAACATAATTGAAATTTCTTCACGAGGAATAGAAACAGTGTTGACTTCCAGCCATTTCAGGAAATATGTTTTGATGAAGGAAATTTGGCATGATTTTCTAGATAAAAATTGATGGTTCAGAATAGGTTCTTCTAAATTAGAACATCATTTAATCCATATTATAAGTGTTTAGCAAACACACAACTTCCAGCCAAAAGATGCAGAAAAATTGCCAGTCTCCCAGTTTTGTTAAATTATTTTTTAAACACATGAAATAATTTCACTATCCTGTAGACAGCTAACAGATTCAGAATTTAACTGAGCGCTTACACAAAGGGGCTTAGCCACTCAATACCTCTTCCAAAGATTTTATGCTGGGTGGCTCAGTTACAACACTGTCCCATTTATTTTCCAGCCACAAATACTGGTTAACAGCTGTAAAGTGGTCAATATTTTAATATAACAGGGACTGAACTATGACAGTCCATCAAGTTTTTTCTGTTTTCCTTTTACAAACTTATACCTTCTATCCTCCTCAAGGATTCTTGCTCACCTCACTGTTCAGTGAGCAAATTCTGAATTTCTCCTCATTCATCTATTATTCTTTAAATCCCCATGATCCTCCACTTAAAAAATTTACTGTGTACCAGATTTCATCTGAACTAGTTGTTAACACAGAATGTGGATAAGACAGCACCCTCAAGAAGGCATAGCTGAATGTCACTTCCCAAAGAGAAGCAAAAAAACCTATAAGGTTTATTGGCAGAAAATCACTTGCATTCTAAAACTCATCCCGACATTCTTTGTGTCTTCATTCTTATGCCCGAATTCCCCTGTTAACCCCACTGCTCAGGAAATCTTTTCAGTGTAACACCATTAAATCCACCCTGTCCAGTCAGAAACAATACCAGCCTTTTCCAGAAAAAAAAAAAAAAAAAAAAAAAGATGTTTGAACATCAGTGAGAAATGATGAATTTACCATTTCTCACATTAATGGAATACATCAAACACAGAATAGCTTGAGTTGAAATGGATGACAAGCAAATTCTGCTCTGCCTTCCTGCCTGAAGACTAAAGACTGGATGTTGTGTTGAGGGACATGGTTTAGTGGGAGCTATTGGGAATAGGTGAATGGTTGGACTGGGTGATCTTTTAGGTCTTTTCCAACCTTGGTGATTCTATGATTCTAAGTGCAGCAGCTCTACAATCACAGAGCTTTATCCTCAGATCTTAAGATGTACAAGGACAGAGATCCCACAACCTTCCTGGACAATCTGCTCCAATACTTAATGAATGATTTTTCCCCAGTTTGTTATCCAATCATGGTCTCCCAATTGTGTCCATCATCCCTCATTCCATGACTGTGCATCATAGGAAAGAGCCTGGCTCTGTCTTTTTGGTACCTGTTTCTTTGGCAGTGAAAGGCAGGATTCTCCTAAAACCACCAGACTGAAGTACATTTCTATCAAATCTGCAAGCCACATACTGTGGCACCTGGGCCATCCTGGTTACTTCCACTGGACTTGCCCAAGATTATTACAGTTTCACAGGCACCTCCTCCTAAATACTTTTAGAACTGCTACTCCTGAATTCTCTCTCTGTCTAGATTTATGATTTTGGTCAATCTCGCCACAATCTTACAACTTCAGTCAAATTTGAGGGTTTGAATAATGCAAGCTGCTTGGGAAGGTAAAAATGCAGCTTGCTCTTTGAGAGGAAGAAAAATGCAGTTTCTAAAACAGAGCAGCCTATTCTGTTTGGGATCATCCAGGAGCATAGACTGAGGACACCCACTGTTCAGTGAAGCAGATTCCTGTAGACCTTGTATTAGCCTCCTTTGTAAGGCAGACAAGGGTAGCTAGCAAAATGATCCTGAACCCTCTAGCCACATCGCACTGCAGTAATTTATTTCAAGTTGTTTTTGATTTTGTTTTGTTTTTAAGTAAATGGTTATTTCACATTCGTATCTTAAAACTGATTTCACAAAAAAGAAACAAAGAACATAGAGCTGTGTTAGTATACTACCACAGTCACCACACTCAAGGAACTAAGTCTCATTCTGTATAAAATAATGCACTTAAATAACAGAGTACACTGAGATGATCTGGTAGCCACATGTACTAGTCAAGTTTTATAGTCATTAAGTACACAGTGCTTCGAGGTACAAATTTAAGTCTGACCATAATAAATGTGCCAGCTTTAAGAGTGCTGTGCTCTGACTCAAACATCTTCTAACCGCCTCATGTATAGCATAAACTTGATGAATAACTGAAACAAAAATGAATTGCTGGAATAAGTCTTTTAAAATATAAACCTTTTAAGCATAATGGCAAACTTTGTATCAATACAGAAAATAAACTTGTTTCAAATACATTCAGTAGTTTGACATCTCCTATCTCCAAACATCTATACAGATGAAATGAGCAAAATTTCATGTATAAGAAGCGTCTGCTAAGATTTACATACCCCTGTCTGGAAGAAATCTGGCATTCCCCTAGTTTTCTACAGCAGAAATACTCTGTTCTATATGCCTATTAGATGAGCTGAATGAATCACTGTAGTACATTTGCTTTACTCAAGAGTTCAAAGAGCAAAGTAACTTTGATTAAATAACAAGACTGAGTCTAGCAGGCAGATACAACTCCTGACCTTGCTCAAACTATTTGCTGAGGTTGGCTCATCAGGATTTCTGCTTCAGAAATGTGACAGGCAAGAAAGTAATAATAACTGACAGAAGAGAAAGCTAGTTTGAAAGTACAACTTTAATCTCTAGGAATGCTTCTACTACAAAGGACATTTGAAATAGAAATAGTAAATATGACTATAGTATCAGAAAGAAAACAACTAAAAGTTGTGACATTAGAGACAAAGTACTTGAGAGGGTGGAGAACATTTCTTTAATTAAAAGCTGGAACAAAGAAACTTTTACTCATAGACCTTTGAAAAGCTGTATAGAACCAAAAATTCATCTCAAATGAGGCAAAGTAAAATAGCCATTTAACAATACTAAAAAAATATTCAAAAAAGAACAAATCCGACAGGAACCAACAGAAACAACTCAAGTGGAGTCTGTGTGAGCATATACTGTCCCTGGAAATTAGAAGCTACTGAAGTTCCCATGACATTACTACTACTACAGGAACTCAATTAGAACTTGGTTGCCTTTCTTTGGAGCAAATTTAAAAAAAAGCGTAAAATGGCATCCATGAAGTGCTTCCCAGTAAAGTTCCATAGAAAAGCAAAGATTACTACAATCCCAAGGACTACAGCTTGTACAGGATTGAGTTTAACCTTTTATTCAATGCTTACAACATCCATGTTTCATATAAAGGGTCAAAATGGTCCTAAACTGAAAATGTTGGCTGATGATAGGTACATTGCACACGTTAAAACAATTCAGCATCTCATGCTATTTCTGTGCATGCCGAGATGACTGACTCTTCTTGAAGCACAAAACAGTATCTAGTAAGTTGCCTGTGATCTTAATTTGTGTATTTGTGAATCCATATTTCTCCAGCAGTTGCTTATATTCTGAGCCACTTCTCTGTCTGCCTTCAGTCATACTCAGAGACTGCAGTACAACTCTAGGAGGGTGTGTCTTCTGCTCATCAAGCACAGTTTCTGCCACTAGCAAGGCACTTCCTGCATTTCCAGAACAACCAGAAGCACTTCAGTAGTATTTCTAGCTTCACATTTTTAGTGTTTTGTTCAGAGACATTTACATATAGGTCCCCCATCAAAACAGTGTTTTAATGGGCTTCAGGGGTAATCAGTAACTAAAGTTTACTTTCAATCATCTCTTCCTGGAAAAAACTATTAGTTGTTAAGGGAAAGGTGGAGCTTTGAGTACTGTTTCTACTTCAGTGAAGTTTAGACCACTTCCTGAACATGATTTTTAAACTGTCTTGTTACCACTTGAATCAAGCAACTCTTTCCTGTCATATCCCAGTCTTCAAATAAGGAAAGACAGCCATCCAGGTTTCTTTTGTAGTTTATAAACAAGCTGCCCAGAGAGGTTCTAGAGCCTCTCTCTCTAAAGATACTCAAAACCCATCTGGACACCTCTGTGTGACCTACATGTAGGGAACCTTCTTTAGCAATGGGACTAGACTCGATATCCAGATGTCTCTTCCTACCCATACGATTCTGTGCAACAAGGTCATGCTTCGTAGCCTAGATCTTGTTTTGAATGCTCTCCTATGAAACAAACTTCATAGCTACTGTTAATCCTCTTGGATTAAGGAATCAGTTGAGTAAAGCAGGAAGGCTTTTCCCTTGCTTTTTGTTTAAAGGGCTTCCCCTTTGATCTTTTATACTATCAAAACATAGTTGAAAATACAACACTACATATTTTTCAAGCAATCCCATCATATAGTAGTTCTGAACTCCACTACTCTAGACACTAGTGACATGCAACAACTGCCTGTCCTTGATTAACTTGCAGCATCTTTAATTAGCTTGCTTGTATGTACAGGTAGAAGTGCATGCGTCAGTAATTTGATGATAGTCTTTTCAAAAAAGGTTGAATGTAGTAGAGATAAAGGAGATGAAGTTCCTTGTAAAATCTGCAACTACAGTAAGGATTTATATCAAATCATTCTATGAGTAGATTTGGATTTTTTTTTTTTGAGGCATTTCTATAATGCAAGCATAAGCATATAAGCAAAGGCTGCTATGATCGGACAAGAATATGCATTTTGTAAGATGAACTTATGATTATGACTGTGCGTTAATATGCACCTGTAATCATAAGAGATTAAAAACCTACCTGGTCTGCAAACAGTTGATATTTTGTTTAACAGTACATGAATCTTTTCATCAGGCCAGTCATGAAGAACACGTGAAAGTATGTAAAGATCTGCTTCTGGAAGGTCATCAGTGAAAAAGTCACCTGTTGAAAGGCAGAATTAGTATTTTTCATTTTAGTTAGCATAGTTCTACAGCAGGAAATAAAAATATTAAGATGAAACTAGAAGATTCAGCAGAGGTAAAGTAAGAAGCCTGAAGAGGAGTACTGATACACTATTCTTTCCTTAGCCAGAAATCAGTGTAAGAGCAGAGCAGATCAAAAGTAAGAATTCTGTTATATGTAGAAATGGAGAGAAAGCCTAAAGCAAGAGGAGATTGAAGTCTTTTGTAATAACCATATTGATCTTACCTAGATAAGAAAAACCAAAGACACAGGCATACAAGAAGCCTCTACTTCCATTCACACTTCATTTACTGCCACTCTCCAACTACTGTCTGGTTCTGTTCCTACAGGCTTGAGAAGTACAGTGCCTCTGTTTAGCATGGGTGAGCCAATGCTGCATTGTACCAGGTCAGATTTGGGGTTGGAGCAAGGCAGCACACCATTTTCTGCAGCGAAAGAGACCGCCCTCTGCTGGAGGATAACAGATACAAAATAAATGGCAATGTTACGCTTACCTGAAACAAATGTCACTGGAGCTGTGCATCGTTCTGATGGTTGGAAGCAAGAGCTGTTTGCAATGACTTCTGGAAGGTCAAACACTGTGACCTTCATATTTGGATATATTCGTATTAATTCATGAGCCAGAGCTCCAGTACAACCTGTTGGAAGTTTAGAGAAACTCAAAATCTTCTCTCCCACCATCTGCATAAATTTTTAAGGATAAGTCTGTATGTAACATTAAGAGGAGATAAACATCAAGTCAGAAGTAGAGGTGGCGAATACTTAATATTTCAGTACTAACATCCACAGTTAATTTGATCAAGAGCACCTTCCAGTGGATAGAACAATGCCTCAAAGTTTGGCCAGTATAGTTATTATTCCCTACTCTATCATAGATTTGTTAGTATGGCCTTTGATAGCATTACTTCAGGGTTGGTTTTGGTTTTTTTTTTTTGTATTTGCTGTCTTATTCTTGCTTGGAATTTTTTTTTTTTTTTTGTTTGTTTGTTTCTGGAACATTAATGGACTTATAGTTTGTGTTCTTTACCCACAAATTATTTACTATACACAGAGCACCAAGAGCAGAAATTTGACAGATAGTCTCCAGGACAGTGAAGAATATGGATGAGCTCTTGAAGTCTCTGCACAAGTGAGAAAGGTAGCCATCAGTATTTTATTGATTACTCTGAAATGCTATCCAATACCTCAGACCTTAAGTGATGCCTCAGACCTTAAGTGATGCTTCTTTCTTGCACAAGACACTCTCCCTAAATATTTTATTTTTGCCACACTAAGCACAGGGTAAAACAAAAGCAAACAAAAAAAAAAGCCACTAACAATGAGTTTCTTCACATCCATCATTGGTCTTCAAAATTTTGGTGGTCATCTTAGATATTAATTGGTAAAAACACCATAACCACAGGAGTACTCAGCCCATTCTAAGAGAGTCCAAAATGTTTCTTGTAGCAGTGGTTTCAAGGCTGACATACCAGCACTGGAAGATTCTACCAGCAAAGCCACAAACTTTGTTTTCTGTGTTGAGTTGTGCATCACTACATAACTCACATATTCACTTCAAATTGTTCAACTGCCATGAAGTCACTCAACTACCATTTAAATAACTTTGCTTTTAGTTAACTGTGTTAAGTCCTTTCATTCTGACATTACAATACCAAAAAATTAACAGTAGCCAATTTTACCCAACTGAAAACATGCACATTTTCCCACGTAAGTGGTAAAATATGAATCTGAAAGCAAGCTTTTTCCCTTAAATTTGCACACAGGCTCAACTACAGACCATACCTCCTAAATCACAAGCAGTCTTAAACTCTGAAAGATCAAATGCTGTAGCCACGTCTCTTGCTGTAAGGTGGGCAATGCTGTGCATGGCAGCCATAAAACGCTGCTTCACTTCCTGGCTCTGATAATAGTCCTAAAAATGAAAAAGAAATTAAAAAAAAACAAAAAAAAACAAAAAACAAGTAATGTAAACAGATTTTATTACTGTAACTAAAGTTACATTCAATCAAGGCAGTTGGTGCACTAATATATTAACAAGAATTCTGAAATTAAAAATAGATCAAACTGTCATTGCCTGGTTGCTCATCCAAGCTCTTTGCTGGTTACAATTGCTTCAGTGTAGTGATGAACACATTTTTGCACCCTTTAACTGTCATCTAGACATCTTTTGTAGTATGTCTCAAAGAACACACACTTAGCTTGGTCTTGGTTAGCCTAAGGGTTATTAAATTGTATCTGTCTACATGATTGCTACTGAGGTAGCATAGCAGGAAGAAGAGGTAATCTGGAGTGTTTTTAATGCAATTCTATGCCTTAGATATACATTAAGGAATTTGCTCCACAGCAGTATGTCTTTAAAGCAGACAAACAGACTGCATTTTCATCTATGATCCTTCCTCTTGATATACTCAAACTGATTTCATGCAATTCTGACATTTATTTTAATTGTTTTCCTATCACATGATAAACAGCAATGTTAAAGATCATACTGCTTGTCTTAGATTAGTTAAGAAATTATGAAGAACTAGAACCTGGTGCCTCAGGCTTCTAAGTGATGCATAAAGCACATCTCACTTCCATACTAACCTCACTGGTTATACACTGCTTTAAAGCTATCATTAAGTAGAATATCTACAGGCTACGGTATATATAGTACCACAAAGTGCCTATCCTGCTTGGACATGTACTGTACTGTAGAAAGTGCAGGTCTGAACTAGTAGTGACTACTGCCCAGCATCATCTAGTAAAACTCATGTCAATAATTCGGATTAACACAAAGTAGTTCACCTACACTAAAGTGGGTTAAATCTGTGTAAATTACTTCTACAGCAGTTATTTTAAAGAATCCAAGTTCCCTTTAAAGCAGTCTCTAAAGGATTCCTAAGGGAGCTTCTGTCCATCAGTAATATAGACACAATGTTAAGCTAAAAGGACTTTGTAGAATCTTTAAAGGCTGTTACTTCATTCATTAACTACACAGGAAGAGTATAGACATTTTTCTTTAGAAAACTGGCTTCCTCAACACTTAGAAGTTAAATACAAATCAAGAACCTAAAGATGTAGCCTGAAGTACTGCAGTTAAAGATGAAATCCTTATATAAATCTCCTCCACGCTCTTCTTAAACAGGCACAAATATTTATGCCTCCAGTCTGCTTTACGAGGTTTAGAACTACTGAGTTAGGAATCACCTTAAGTGATACCCCAGTTTGAAGAGACTCGCCTGGGCTAGTATTAGGAAAGGAATGCTGCAGAGATGGAAACAGATTAAGGCAAGGATTATTAATGGCAACATTTGCCAGCTTGAAGTATACATAAAACTACAAACTTTGATAAAACAAAGGCTGCACCAAAAGTAACACCCCTTATTTTATTTGGTTGGCCTACAACATCAGAGGTGGATGATAGTAGTATGGTAGCAGAGGCTGAACTTTTCTGCCAATATTCTGTTAACAGTTGTTGCCACATGACAGATGTCAGCAGGTAGGCAGTCTGACAAAATGGCATCTTGACACCAATGGCAACATGGACACTTACTGAATGTTTATGGAGACCAAAGTGTGGATTTGAGCACAGTGAGGCAGTGGGTGGTGCATTTCAGCAGTGGTGAAATTGATGTGTAAGACAAGCAGCATTCTAGATGGCCACACAGACTTATGAGTGCAGCATACAGGCTTATATTCATCAACAGCAAAAGTTTATAGCTAAAGGTGGTGACTGTTTAAAAATAGTGTTCTTTAGCTGAGAATTTGCTCTATCAAATAGTGTTATTGTGCCCTTTGTATCTGTTGTGGTTTCCGCAGAAATAAATAGGAGGCATTACTTTCAGTGTGACCTGTGTAGACTGGATCATTCATCCCCTATATTAACAGAATGATACTTCAAAAACAACTTCAAATGTACAGGCACAACAGGTTCCACTGGATGCACATCAGTAACAAGCCAAACTGAGTGGAACTGAAGAAATACATATTTAATGTATGCCTGGTATAATGGAAAGGCCACACAGTAGTTAATTAAACACACTGAGAGGTCGTTCTAGGGCATGTTAACTGGATGGGCAGAACTTCCATCTGAGTTTCATCAGCACTGAAGTTTTCTAGACTATTCTGTAATTGCTCCACAATTTCTAGAGCCTTAAGACTACACTTAAAATTGAAGGGAACAGAAATCTATGACTAGCAAATTATACTGCATTTCTAGCATTTGAGATTTGTGAACATTCTTCAACAGCTCGGTTTCTACTTCCCTCTAGATAAGTTCTGGGCTAACGAGTCTTGGAAAAAAAAAAAAGTTTACATTACATTAAATAAATCCTCCGTTTTCTTTCCAAAGGCTCGATGGTTCTGCCTGCTTCCCTCTTTAACAGCAGACTCCAGGTGTGTAAAGAGAGGCCAAAGATGGTCATTAGAGTGGATAATGTAGCCATGAAGCGAGTATTCACCATCAGATGCCAGATAAGTATTTGCTGAATCTGTATTACTATAACCTTAAGGGAAGAGCACAATTGTAACCAGTTTTGTTCCACCACTTTATAGACATCAGCTAACATTTGAAGGCATATTACCTTGTAATGCCATTAAAGAGCCACCAAATCCTGATTTGGGCATCACAAGGTGTTTTACTGTAAAAAGATTTCTATGAAATACTTCTAAAGGCCTCCTTATTCTTTGAGAATGAAAATCACTTTAGGACGTTCTTTTTAAAATGAATGTAGGTGCTGAAGGATGCAAAGAACATTTTCATTGTTTATTTATAATCCAGAGAATTTCAACTATGCATCTGATATTCAAGGAAGACCATTAGAAGTTTGTCATTCTTGACTGCATTTTTTCTGTTTTAGATGATGCCTCTTCTTCCCTTAAATTCAAGCATTCTCCAGTACATTCCACTTTAGTGCTTTCTCCTTCACATTGTCCTTTAACAGGGTTGAAAGCATCCTTTATTTCTTTTTCTTGGCATTTAATCTTGGCGTTTAATACAAAGTAAATGATACATTTGAAAATTTATATAGTGCAGATTGGAAAATTTAATCCTATTGCTGACTGTCACCTACATACACTTCCAAGTACTGCGCAAGTTAGGTGTACTAGCATTTAAGCTGGTGCTTAAATTCCACAGCCCTCCTCATAAAATCTGCAGTTCTCCACTCAGGTTTGTGACTCTGCACAGCTGCAGAGGAGAACGGGCTTGGTCCTTATTTAGATGGTATATCTGAGCTTTTATGCTGCTCCCTGAGACTCGCCCATGAAAGTTAATAGAATTTGGAGATGATTGCTTTTGCTCTCTTAAAACAACATCTATCTAAGGTTTTCTCAAAGGAGACCTACTGCGTTCATTAAATAATCCCTGCTCCCAAACAGAACAATTCCAGCTATCAATGATGAACACAAAAAACAAACAAACAAACAAAAAAACTCCCCATCTCCCCACCTCAAATCCAAGTTACTGACAAAATGGGTGGGATGGGAAAAAATCACCTTGTGGTGTTTTCTCCAGCAACCCAAGAGCAGCACAGGCATCAAGGAGTCTTTCAGTTCCATGCACAGAAGTTCCAACCTCATCTGCAATATCTGCAGCCTTTAGAGGACTTTTCTTTTTCAGACAATCAAACATCTTCAGCTTAGAGGCTACAAACAGAGCCTACATGTAGGAAAAAAAAAAAAAAAACCCACAAAACTTGCATTTGAAAGACTGCAGTCAAGAAACAAAGGACTTACACTTCTGCCACAGACATTCCAGAAGTATTAGTCTACATAATTACTGTTATTTAAGTGCAACATAATAACAACTCCTAAGAACTGTTATAACAAGTTTTTTTCCCCCCCTCTAAGTGTTCTAATAGCTTTGCTAAGTAACATTAATTGGGACAGAGGTGTACGAGAGAGAAGGGAACTCAAAATATATTGGCATGCAGCCTATGGAGTCTGTATTAAGAGCACCTCTTTATTCAGATATTTAGCATATACCTAGCAATATGCATATTCCATTAAGCCAAATATATTTAAACATGTGAACCAATGCCTAAGAGATTAATTTAAATTTGATTTACGTAAAATGTAAGGAACTGTAAAGTTTCACTAAGGCAATGTAGCAGCTTCAGTTATAGAAAGATTGGTCTTCATGAAGTAAAAACTATGGCTAAAAAAAGGAATAAGACTTCAAAGTACAACTCTACCATATGCACACTTTAGTAAGACACGCATGGAACACAAAGAAAATAAAACACTGCAGTTTCAGTGCTCAGAAGCATGTTAAAATTCCTAAAACAATGGTATTCATGTAGAGCACAGTGGAAGAACACACAGCAATCATGGAGACACTTCACTGCAACTGCAACCAACTGTGATATACTTGAAAAATCAGTCAGCCAAGAAGAAAGGATACACATTCTATTTCATAAAAAAAAAATAACTTAGAGAAAGGTATGTTAGTGTGTAAACGTTTCATCATCTTCATCCTTTCTATCATTTCTTCTGTTGTTCTAATAACAGTTAGGATTTATTAGAATCCAGGCTTCCACAGTATTGATCCAAGTGCATCTATACTACAACCATTTGACTTTCAAGATCTGCCCAACTTTTGAACTAATTAATGTGACCTGGAAGTTACAAAAATGAAGAGATTCAAAAAAATTAAGAATATAAATCATTCTACAATTCTGTAATGCCAAGTTCACAAAAAATGCAAACAAATATCCTAACAGCAAGTAAAGATCAGAATACACAATTTCAGAACATGTTGGAGAACTGGATTAGCATTAGGGTCAAACCTGATCTCCTGTTCTGCAATAGCAGCTGTTCATAGTAAAGTAGGTGGCAATGCCTCCTTCCTCTGCAGGAGATTTCAGCCTGCTTTATGAAGCAACAACACTCAAGAAACAAAATGAAACAGATCCTAGAAGCTTTTATGAAGCTAAATGCTTTTGTGCTCTTATCCATATTCTTGAAGTGCAAAGAGAGGAGGTAAAACTTGTCAATCCACAGAAGTAATCCACAATGAGTAATGTATTATACAAATATCTTCAGGCCTCAGGAAAAGAAATCCCCAATAGCTCAACACAAAACTTCAGCATTCCGTGCTGATTTTACACTGATTATTAGAAAATGAAAGCTCCCGCTTCTATTTACAGTGGCCATCAACTTTCATTGCACAGAACTGAATTTGCCATCAGATCAGAACAATCAGCAAACATAATGTGCCATTACAGAATGCTGGTAATTCTCCACATCTTGCACTTGAAGGTGTGCTAAGCATTATCTCATCCATTCAAGTACTTCAAACTTGCTCTCTGTGGATACATCTTACTTGACAAGCCTACCCTCAGCGTTTGCTATACTGTTGAAACAACCTACTGCTACTGTCCAGCTATATAAGAACATCTGATTTTATTAATTATCATAACTTAACTGCATTGCCCAGAACTACAATAAGAGTAGCCACCAATTCACAGGCTTAACTGTGACTTTCTGCTGTTTGAACCACTGTTCACTGTCTTGTGTATCCTCTGCTATTTTTAATTGCATTTAGGTTTGTCATTTCACTGTCACTTGAGCAGTTTTTTCATCTCTTCCTGAAACATCACCAACTCGATACCAGTAATCTATTCAGAATGACTAGTGTTCAATTTCTCCTCCACCTTCTTCACTGCAGAGGAGCTCTGAGTAGACAACTTGGTAGCACTTAAAACACCCAGTTATTCATTTCCCATTACACTTGGCTGCTCCACACATGCCCCTCACAGCATGTGACCTTCACTTTGTAGCCTGTGTTACATAGATGTGTCTCCAGCTGATAATCTCCAAGCAATATACGATAAACAACTGGAACATGAAAAGGGTATAAAAAAAAAAACTACTTCCTTAACAGGAAATAAAAATTTAAGATCTCCCCCAGAATTCTAAAACTAAGCATTACAAGTTCAAAAGGGAAAAAAAAAAACAACCCAAAAGCAATTATGACAAGCATGCACATATTTAAAATAAGCTTGGTAATTAAATCACATAAAAAGCCTTCCTAGTAGTGTTGATAAAAGGGTATTTTCTATTTGATTGCACTCAGTACAAAAAAACCATAGTGATAAATTTATACTTAAAAGCCTTTTGAAGTTTCCCAACAACATTCTACTTTCACTATGGAATGCATTTTTGCGTGATACGTTTCTGAAATTACTGTTATTTTGGAGCATTCTAATTACAACATGCACCAGAGACAGAATCATTGATGTAGCTAATGAAAGATAAATCAATCTTCTGTAAGTTGCATTTAATTAGACAACATGACAAAAGGAACATATGGGAAGAAAGCAGATAGGTACTGTTTCCAGACATCCTAGAAGCACAGTTTAACCATTTATACCCAAGACTGAACATGCAAGGGCAAAAGGAAAAAATAAAACAGTCCTGTGGACTTCTTCACTTTCAAATTAAAAGGAAGATTTTTTTTAACTATCTCTGCTGTTTAAGTTTCATAGAGTAGATAGAATTAATACGAAAAAAATACATCTGTATTTTGTCACAAGTTTCTGCTATCTTAGATTCTCTGCACAGTGGTTCTTTTGTACTATTTATTCCATCTCAAGCATTTCAAATTAGCTCCAACAAAGCAATTGTGTCAGTCAGAGTAATTAGTTTTACTTTTCTCCCCTTCTTACCTTTGAAGCTCTAAAACCATCCATCAGGTCTAGAATTTTAGATGGAACTTTTGCTGCACTGTCTGATACTCCATTCTGATTTTCCAAAGGTACCCCAGAACCAGTTCTGACACCAGAGCTGTTTTCAGAGTTACAAATAACTCCTGATGGACTGTCCAACTTGCTAGCACGTTTATGTTCCTTGAAACTTGAGGATTCACTTTCTCCATCACTTAGGCTCTCAAAAGTGTCCACAGAAGGGATAGAGTCATGCTTTGTATGCTGTATGGTATGTTTAAGGGGTGGATAGTACAACTCTGCTAGTTTTTTGCAGAAGTGATTCAGAGGAAATCCCACCACATTCAGGAAGTCTCCATGGACATACTCAACTAACATTCCACCAAGGGCCTGGATTCCATATCCACCAGCCTTGTCCCTGGGGGAGAGAAAATGAAAGCTGAGACCTATCAATTAAGGTTGAGAATGTGTTTGACAGTAAAGGTTGCACAAAACATGTAATCACTAGTACTGCAGAGACTGGAATAAAGACTAGTCTACTCATGTTGGAGATGGATTCTAGTTAAGCACAAAGCTGCAATTTGTAAGTCATAACTAAGTATAAGGATTAAGCCTAAGATCATTAAGTTTCTGCCAGTCCAAGTGATACAGTCACCTATGTGGAAGTATATCACCTGACTGCATTCAAACTGCACTGCCATAGGTCACCCAGCTTCCTCCATGGCCTGTCTGGCAAGGATAGTAACAGCAAGCATTCCTGAGACCAACACTGCCACTCAGTCACCCAGTTACATTTTGACCCCTACCCCTATTCCACTAGAGGCTGAAGGGTCTTTAGGCATACATCAGCTTGAAAAGGAGCTCAAACTTAAGGGGATGTCTCAAACAACCATAGCATGTGCCTTGCAGCTCTCAGTCAGAGTAATATCTAAAACAAAGACCAGGGAAAAGAAGTTGCTCTTTTTCAAAGTCCTATTCAATTACAAAATCCAGTGCTATCTCACTCAGTCCTACCTAATTTCTACACAGGTTTTTGGAAATGTAAGTAGAGCTGTATGCAACAAGGTGCTCTAACATCATGGCACTAGTACACACATGTATTTCACAGCAAGTAACCTTGGGAATTTAATCTGCCTTTAATTATGTAAATTTCATTGCATAATGTTATGTATGCAGCCAGATAAAGTGCAGTAAACCAACATTTTCACTGCTCACGCCTACGGAACAAGGTTGGTAGAGGTACACTGACTAACATCTGAACCTGAAAGCCTAAGTAAGCAACCTTTGAAACCAAAGGTCAGTCAGTCTCAGATCTATTAACTCCAGACTGTACAGAATTACAAACTGCTTTCAAAAGAACACTGCTACAAGACAGCTGACAGTTTAGTGTAGATTTGATGAAAGCAAGTTCCACATTTTTGGAACATACAGAATAAAATACTAGCTCAAAGAGTCTAACAGAAACCAAATCAACTCATTAGAGGATCACAACCTAGTTAGAATTAATGTAGGCCAGCCTTATTTCTACAGAAGTAATAGGAAGATATCTTTCAGTCAGAAAATAAAAATCCTTGGTTGAAGAAAGGAGAGGGGAAAAAAAAAAAAAAATCAAAGTGAACAGCCATGTTTCTGCAGCCATCAGAAAGATGTTGGGCACACAGTCCACTTTGAGATAGTGCTCTTCCCTCCTTCCTTGTCCATATTTTAACTCAGCTATATACTTTTAGAATTAGTCTGTGTCCTCAATGACCAAACTTTAAAATACTACATGCTGCTTATTTTCTTGATAAGAAGGATGCACAACAGCAGAAAAATTAGTCAGTTTCTTAATTTCTCATGCAATTATTTAATTCTAAGAAATTACACAAGACTAAGTCTTCATAAAAAAAAAAAAAACACAATTACTTGAATTATAATAGTTAAAAAAAAATATCTGTGTAGGTGGCAATGGTGGAACAACAGAAAATACCAGAAGACTTCTTACTTATTACAAAATTTCCAGGGCAAAATATTTTATGCTGCATGCTAGTAATATAAACCAAGATCTACTCTGAAGTACTGTTAGATAGCCTTAGAGTCTTACTTACATGGGCTCTCCACTATGAATGTACTCCCATAAGAGCTCTTCTGAAAGATCTGAAAATTTTACTTTAGTCTCTTCATAGAAATCAGTGATTTCTGTTTCTAGCTGATTATCTACAGAGAGGAAATCTCATTAGAAACAGAAATTGTAACATCAAAATGACAGTTTAGAGAGCAACAGTTTATTTACACTCCTATGAATATGAATTTTGCTTACAAAAATTATATAAATCATGAAGTAGCTAATAAAAGTTTTGAGGGACAATGATCTCTTTTGTTATTTCCCCTTGCACATACTCATCACATCAGTAAAAGCTGAAAGCTGGGAGAGCTTCTACCACTGTGTTCCCCTCCATAAGCTAACAGCTTGCTCTCCCTGTGTACAATATACTCAAGTTAGCAAAACTAATTGCTAGTATATACATCCAGCAACAAATACAAAGGTTGCAAACATCCTTCTAACATAGGAGTGTCGACAAACAACCCGTAACACAACATGGTTAAAATTATAGCTGTTATATATATGCCTGAGCATGCAGCTGCATCTGTACTGCAGACATCCAGCAGTGTCATCTGCAGTGTGATCTTTCATCTCTCTCAATAAATAAGAAGAGTTATTTCAGCCTTCTTTTCCTAAAAGTAGATGTAAGACAAAGGTGCTGTGAAGTGTGCTATGAAACGCTGCATATCTGGGTGTGGGCTCCAACAGTATAATGCATGGGTACACTGAACTCAGTAAGATTACAGAGCAAGGCTGCACCAAAATATATTCAAAAGAAAGCAGCCTTCTAAGAATGAGCATGCAGTAGCACATTGACTCTTTCCTACAAGACTGACTTCCACATCTCCTCCTACTGCTGTGCACATTAGTCTGTATTCTGGTAGCAATTGAAATTCCCCAGGAGGTGAAAGGAAGATCCACAGTACACTAATTGCAAGTAGTGTTAGCATTGAAAGAATATCACGATTCAGGTGAAATTAAAGAAAAATATTAGTAACCAGTCCTCCTATGCTACGTGTTGATGAAAATTCTGTCTGGAGCTTAAATGCAAAACTTAGCAACACATTATAATTATCGATTAAAACAAAACAAAAATGAATTCTAAAAAAAAAAAAAAAAAAAAAAAAACAAACCTGAACACCTCTTCTACTGAATCACTTGATGAATATGATGACTTCAGATGTATATATTCATCTGAATATACCATGGCTTCAACTTCTAAACTCCAGATGAGACAAGCTGTCATCAGCATCGCTACTGACAGTATATGCAACTTTATTTTTCTCTTAAACAAGACAAGGCATTATTCTTCCTAGATTGCTCACAGACCACTTGAAAACATTTTCTTTTTCAGCTGTTACCGTTTCTACTCTACAAACATCAATAAGATTATTGGATCACTGACCTTATTTCTGCTACAAGACTTAAGAACAACCATTCCAATAAAAACAAAGCTATAGTGAATTTATCTACATAAAACCATATTCATTGAAATTTCAGAGAAAGGATTTTGATGCAAGTTCCTCTAATGAAGTACTGACATTAACGATCAGAGGAAATCCTTTAAACACTCAAATTTTGACATTAGAGTGCTCAAAAAACAATCATTCACTGAAAAAGTTATGTGATAAATACAGATATATGGCCCCCTACAGTTGCTGTGCCTGAATTTCAGTTACAGTATTTCCTCCAGTTTACACTGATCTTTAAGTTTGTCCCATAGATCTCAGAGCATTTTTATAGGCTTGTATTTTGTCATAAAGGATGATGACAACTGAATGCAGTAAGATGGGTAGCTTTTGTGACGAGCTTTTAGTTTAAATATTAGGTAATTCCCACACTGAGTTAGACACCAATTCAGACTATATAAGAGAAAGTCGAAGTCTTTATGCAAATAATTGCTCATAAAAACACTGAGTAAAAAGAAAACAAACTAAACTGAGGTACCTTTACTGCTGCAGTGTATAATAACCACTCCTGTGAAAACGCTGTGCTCCTTCCCACTCAACCTGTCAGGGAAAATCATGTATGAAGCAACAGTTATAAAACCTGTCACAAGCAAAAGCATTCTTCATGATTATATTGCCACATCCCAAAACAGATCATATAAAAACACCAACATGATGTAAGTGTCATAAGCAAATACATTCTTAGTTCAATATAGGTGAAAAGATTAATAAAACACAACAAAAAAAAAAATTAAGATTTATGGCAAGACTCTAAAATCCCACTGACACCAACATCCACAATTTGAGAAAGCAATTAGCGGTACCAGACTATTCACCATACAGAAGCAGCAACTATTTCAAATGCATAAGAAAAAGCCAGTCAACATTTATGCTACCACTACAGCTACCTTCACTGAAAACCACCAATAAGCAGTTAGGTCACTGAGCAGGCCTCTAGCACTGAAAGCCTGAAGTGGTAGCCACTCTTCTAGTGGCTCCAGAGCACCACACTGTGGCTGAATAATTGTAAAGGCATCAAGTTTGTGTAATATAGAAGCAATTAAACTATCCTAAGTATCATGAAAGTTAGATTTTTGAAGAGATTAGCCAGGCTACCATGTGATGTGACCAGAAGCATCTCACCCTTAACACCGCACACTGAAGTCAGTGTGATTAATTGCAGAATGAAACCTCGAATGAAAAATTCTTAATCTGATACTTTGGATATGAGGACATATCTTGCCAAACGTTTTCCAATTCATTCAGAACACAATTAACATCAGTACGTAATGGGACTTTTTTTTATAAGAAAAACTTGTTATCACTTTAAGCAAAAACAGTAGTAAGAAGTCTCTGGGCAGACTTTTCCAAGAATCTCCTACTAGCAACATATGCCACTGTTTTGCAGTAAAGAACCAAAACAAAAAACCCTACTACTATTAAATTAGCAACATGCCCCAAAGGATTAAAAATTCAGTTTAACTCACCAGTGCAAAAAAGTAATCTAAAACAGACTTAAAGAAACCCAACCAACTCAAGGTTAGACCTTCACCTAAACTGCAGACCCAGGCAAACTCCTTGTATTCTGTCTAGCAGACTCCTCAGTTGCATTATAAACTGCTGAATCAAGTACTGCACCCTCTTTTTCCCTTCCCATACAACACAAGACTGTCTGACTAGCAGACTCATCACATCTCATCCTTGAAAAATAATGTTAGTTTTATTTATGTTATTCAGTTAGTGTTTCTTTAAAAATAATGAACAAAAAACCCATTAAATTTGAAAAGAAAAATATCCTTCAGGAGAAAAAAAAAAAAAAAAGCAGAAGCTTAAAAGCCTGACAGCCTGAGAGCAACAGTGGAAGTAAAAAAAACAATTTCCTCAATTAAACTATAAATCCATAAAGCAGAATCTGGGTTGGAGCAAAACTGCAAGTGTAGCCTCAGTTTGAGACACTAACACATTTTCTTATAATTTCACAATGTGACCCTACTTGAATAGATGGGCTGGAGAAAATGATCTACCAGAGGTTCCTTCCAGCTTCAATCATTCAGCCAGTCAATTTCACTACTGACTGTATTAGATCTTACTTACTGAGAAGCAAATTAGACAAATGCTTATCCAATAGTAAACTTAAACTGAAGACATTGTTCATTTCTCTTGAAAGGAAACAAGGTACTAGGAGTTCAAAGTAGGTGCCAATGAGCATGCATCACTCTCTCATACATGCAATTATCTTCTTTAAAATTCAAGCCTCAAACTACTTCTGTTCTTTGCCCCATCGTAATTCTCTCCCTGTCTTCCCCTCCAGCAGTAACTGAAGCATACAGAAAGTCCCGCAATAATTCACTCCAGAAATTAAAATGAAAACAAAATGGTTTGTTAAGTCCCCCATCACCCTGCAGTGAAAGAGCAAGAACAAGCAGCTTTGACTAAGAGAAAAAACACACCAAATTTTCAGAGACAAAACAGGCTTATGGTATTTAAAATCATCAGAAAAAAATACAGCCAGAGATTTCTCAATATATATTTATACATCTCCCATTAAACGAACTCAAATGTACACATTTTGAATTTTATGTAGAATTACAAACCTTGATAACATCCTATATGCATCTTGCTTATCAACTGGTTTCTCCAAGATCTGCTCATCCACAGTCTGAAACAGAAAGATGGAGATACTGTGCTGTGTTCTTAGTTGTCTGAAACTGAGGATTCAAAATAATGATTTAAAATAAGTTTTCAGCCACATCTTCAAAATGAGACTACTGAGCAGAGCAAGAAACAGATACAGATACTATTGTCTCTGGAAGAATAGTACTGAGGCTTTGAGCACTCAAGACAGCAAAAATTGACTTGTTAGGAAGAAATGACTTCGTAATACATGTACAAAACCTCAAAACACATCTCACTTCAGGTGCAACTGATTAATGAAAAATCATTTTCCAACCCCAACTTTAAGCCTAAATACGCTTGTATTTTCTACACACGTCATGGTTTAAAACATTGCTAAAGCTCAGAAGACCTCTTACCACAATAGTGTCTGCTCCTATAACAATATCAGGTGTTCTCAGGTGTTTCTGAAAAGGCATAAAGAAAGAATGTATAAAGTAGAAAGGATAAAATACTTCAAAAAAAAAAAAAAAAAAGCAAGAAAATATTAGTTCACCTGGTAGACTTACAGGCAGGGCTTTACAGGGAACTGAAAAACATGAGTCTCTTTCTCCTTTTGCACTGTTTACAAAGTAGTAATCGTCTACAACACCACAATAGTGAATAAAACAGTAGAGTTGAGCAGACTAATCTCAGGTTACAACTTCACCCAAATACATTACTGATGAACAAATACATCCAGGAGAAGACTGCCTGCACTCCCAGAGGCTAATTTGATCTTGAAAGGGCATTTAGATTTCCTTTACAGCAAACACCCTATGCAGTGGGGACAGGTATGTAGACCTGAAGCCCTCTAGAACCAGCTTTTATAGTCAAGATCTCTGAATGATTTCTCTTTAGCTACAATTCTTTTCCTCAGGGGATCACATACAGTACAGTTCAAGAAACTGAGAAGTATAGGCATACAAAGAATCCTTATAGCCCTTAATTTCTTGGCTTCAAGCTGTATGTAACCTGTCCTTACAGATACTTGCATGTTAATGAGGTAAATAGCTACTATTTAACACAAGAGAGGAAATTTGTCTCCAACTCTGATTCTTAAACAAAAAAGTTTATAGGGAGGAGATCGTTCTCCAGAAAAAAACTCCTTTTTCAAAACGCTTTTAGAAATCTGAATGAACACTATCACCAGCATACTGCTTTGAAATGAATTATAGAATGGCCTGGGCTGAAAAGGACCACAATCATCATCTCATTCCAACCCCCCTGCTATGTGCAGGGTCACCAACCACCAGACCAGGCTACCCAGAGCCACATCCAGCCTGGCCCTGAATGCTTCCAGGGATGGGGCATCTACAGCCTCCTTGGGCAACCTGTTCCAGTGCGTCACCATCCTCTGAGAGATAAACCTCCTCCTAATGTATGACCTAAGGCTCCTCTGTCTCAATTTCAAACCATTCCCCCTTGTCATATCACTACACAACCTGGTAAACAGCTGTTCCCCTTCCTGTTTATATGCTCCCTTCAAGTATAGGAAAGCCACAATGAGGTCTCCCTGGAGCCTTCTCCTTTCCAAGCTAAACAAGCCCAGTTCCCTCACTTCTTCATAATAGGAGAGGTGCTCCAGCCCTCTGATCATTTTTGGGGCCTTCCTTCAGACCCAATCCAAGAGCTCCATGTCCTTCCTGTACTGGGAGCCCCAGGAAAGGCCAGCGTAGGGCAGTTTGCAAACATGGGTTTGATACACACTCTCCTAATTTCACATCATTCTCTGAAAAAAAGTTGATAGAAACCTGTATAACAATTTACACTGAAGATCATGCAATATTTGCTTTAAATAATGGTAACATCTGGCAACACTGTTGGTTTACAGTGTTTTCTGACATCAGTATAGGCTGAACAAGTACACTCCTCTTTCAGAGTTGTAATAAAACATTATTACAATATACTTCACAGGATCTCATCAGCCAGACTCCTGAAAAGGTTCTGTTAAAGAACAGCTTGATGTGCTCAAACACAGCAGTTGCAGACAAGGGCAGAAATCCAACCAACGCTGCATATTTGGTAACAGATTTTATAATATTTAAGAATAACAGACATGAAACTGTTAGACTCTCACTCTTTTTAGAGTATGTCAGCCTTCTTCTGCAGTGTTTTACAGAATCACAGCAGATTGTTTCCTTTTTCTGCTTTCCAAGCATCTTCATTCTTATGAATTCTGAGTTCTCTTGTCACAACTGTTCAATTGAATTATTTTTTTTTTAGCTACATCAAAGCCATGGGATTCACAGTCAAAAAATTCCTGGAATGAGCAACTGTCTGGATAAGAGCTAGTCACAAACCTGCCGCTGTAAGGAACTACCAATTATTCATCCCAAGACAGAACAGATGCACTGCTGACAAAAGATGCAAAATACATCTACCTGACAAAACCTTTATTTGAAGGCATTAGGCCTTCTTGTGCTTAGGTGAGTAAATTTCAGTATGCTATCTATCACAAGTGACAAAACATCCATTTTCCTTTTAATGGGGAAGATGCACTCACAGACTACCTAAGAAGTACATGCAAATTAAGTTACTGTAACACAAAACTTGAAGACAAAAAAATCTCATTGCTGAAATAGGCAACTTAGAATCACAGAATCATTTGAGTAGGAAGGGATCCTCAAAGGTCATCCGTCCAACTCTTCTGCAATAAACAGGAAAACCTACATTACTTCAGGCTGCTAAGAGCCTGGTCCAGCCTGACCTTGAACCCCTCCAGAGATGAGGCATCCACCACTTCTCTGGGCAACCTGTTCCACTGCTTTACCACCTTTATCTCAGTTCTTACTGAGATCCAGACTAAATCTCCCCTCTTTTAGTTTGAAACTATTTCCCTTTGTCCTATCCCAACAGACCCTACTAAAGAGTCTGTCCTTTCTTATACCCCCCCCCTTTACCACACGCATTCCACACTTACCACATGCATTCTGTTTGCTACTTCAAGAGCTTTCTGTTTTGCTGTTTCAATGGCATATTCATAAGGGGCTGCAAAAGATGACTTTTCAAGTGTCTCTTTAAACCAGGACGGAACTACCTCAAAGCGTAGGCCCTGTAACAACAAAGAAAGAAAAGCAATACGGAGAGCGTAATCACATTAAAAGTTGCTCCAAGACACATCAGGTAAGTGATGAATTCAGTTTCTGCTCTACCCATTTTAAAACATCCTATCTTTACATTTACAAGAGGGAAAAAATATGCTTTTAATATTATGGGGCTCTTTTCAGTATCAAATTTATGTACCCTGGGGCTAGTCTATTCCTATAAGTAGAGTTTTTACTGAATCCATTCACAGTACTTGTGCAGCAGTACTGCATGTTCTTACGTGAGATTTACCACCCGTAGTTATACACTATTAAAAACGTAAGTAGAAAATAAGTAGATGGTTTTATAAAAAACATTGTACTTACTTCCCATCTCCAGATGACACACATAAATTTACTACACCCAACTGTCATTACATTGCTAACAACTTGGCACATGTGAACCTCTATGCTTCTCTTAATCTCCATATACTTCCTTTACATTTAAGTTCTGACTTTTCCTATGAAGAACCCTGTGTAATTAAATTACGCATTTTGTAATCATAGAATCGTAAATGTTGGAAAAGACCTCCAATACGACCTACTTCAACCATCAACCCCTCACCACCATGCCCACTAACTGTGTCCCTCAGTGACACATCCACACGTTTCTTGGACACCTCTACAGATGGTGACTCAGCTACCTCCCTGAGCAGCCCATTACAGCACCTCACCATTCTTTTGGAAAAGGAAATGTTCATAACACCCAACCTGAATCTTCACTGGTGCAGCTTGAGGCCATTCCATCTCATCCTATCACTAGTTACACAGGAGAAGAGACCAATCCCAACCTCGCTAAAACATCCCTTCAGGTAGATGGAGAGAGCAATAAGGTCTCCTCTTAGCCTCCTCTTCTCCAGACTGAGGAATCTCAGTTCTCTCAGCCACTCCCCATCAGACTTGTGCTCCAGAACATCACAGATACACTGCCATTCTCTGGACACACTCCAGGATCCCAATGTTTTTCTTGTTGCAAAGGGCCCCAAAACAAACACAATACTCGAGGTGCAACCTCATTAGTAAGGTATGATATTCATATTACTGCCAGCCTACTGTCCCAGCTTGCATATGCCTCCAGAGACCAAATGCTCTGGAAGGATTAAAGCTTCCTTTATACTTCAGAAGTGCTTTGCAAGAAGAAGGGTAACTACTTTACCCCCCCACAACAGTAATAACTCATCTCACAAATTTAGGGCAACAGATTGACCCTTTTAATTACTCCAGGTAGCATCAAGGTCTTCTAAGCTTTGCTTTAACTAACTAGAAGTAACAGTGCTGCCTTTTAGCAGAGTACTTTAATCTGTTCATCACTTGAGAGCACTTAAACACGCTGAACTAGAAAAATGCTAAGATGGAACAGAATCGAAATCTAGAAGGTCACGTTAACTCACTCACGCGTAACGAGCTGAGAGCTCTGAGAGTAGAAGCACGCCGAGCAGGCCGACGCAGCCGCAGCGCACCCCTCGGGGCCGCTCACATAAGCAGGCGGCCGCCCACTGCGCTCGCCCCAGGACAGAAGATATACAGCAGCCGAAGGAGCGCCGGCCTCCGCCCGCCCCGCGCTACCGACAGGCGGGCCGGGCCTCCTCCCGCGCCGAGGGGAGGGAAGGAGAGCGGCTCGGCAGCACTCACCACATTAGTGAGGATCTCCTGACGGCGCGGCGAGGCGCTGGCCAGCACCACCCGCTTACTGACCAGCTTCCCCAGCACCGGGCTCAGCACCATGGCCGCGGAAACAACGACCCGACGTCCCGCACCGCGCACCTCGGGGGCGGGCGACGGGGCGGCCTTATAAGAGCTGCGGGGCGGGGCCGGAGCCGGGCACGGCCAGGAGGCCGCGGCGGGCGCGGGCAGCCGATTGTATGGGGGGTGAGGGGCAGCAGCCCTGCCAACGGCTGGGGGTTGGAGCTGGGTGGGAGTTGAGGTCCTTTCTAATCCCAGCCGTCCTATGATCTCTCCTACTTGTGGAGACCCAGGAAGTCAAGTGTTAACACAACCACGGCTTGCCTCTTCTGGCTGAATTCTACTTACAGACTGCTTCTCTGACCTGCGCAAAGAAATTGACAACAGTTGAAATTAATAAATAAACGGGAAACGTGAGAAATTTCCATAGATCCCTTTCCAAGAAAGTCTGTACAGTGTCTAAAAATGGAGACTGATAAAGGAGTTTTTGCAACCTTACATGACAAGGAGTGCATTAGTTTGCTTAAAAGGCAAAATGCAAGGAGCTCTTAAAATGCCTGTATTTATTCCCATGTACGTTACTTGTGCAGGAAAGTTCAAAAAACCCTTTCTGAGCACGCTAAACATCATCAAGTAAGCTATCACAATTTAAAGAGATTTTATAAGTAATTATTTCTAATTTCTCTATTGTGGCCTTGCAAGAGCTGAGCAAAGCAAGTGTGAGGCTGCAGTGAGGTGACCAAGGTGAAAGCTGGTGACACCAACAGTTATCAGAAAAGTTTCTGCCGTGGCTGACGGTGCTAGTCAAAGATTAGCTTGTCCAAGGTTGGTTATGAAACTGTTGACTTTTTCAAATACCTGGTGTATTTTGAACAAAAGCAAAGTAACAGAACTGTAAAGACCTTTCCTCGACAATTTTTTTGTGAATTTCTCTGCTTCTTTGCCTATGCATTTATACTATGGCCATCGCAGTAATAACTTGCTGCACGTGTAGAACTAAAGAACACTATGCTAATCAAACTCTCGTGCCAGCATTTTTATATATCTCAGTAAGAGTTTGTATTTCAACCTGAATGTATTATTTAGCTGAGTCACATATACCAGCACAAGATCAAATTTTGTGGGGAACAATACACAGTATCACAGAATGGCACAGGTTGGAAGAATAAAGAATCATGAAGTTCCAACCCCTCTGCCACAGGCAGGACCACCAACCTCCACATTCAGTAGTAGACCAGGCTGCCCTGGGCCGCATCCAGTCTGGCCTTGAACACCTCCAGGGATGGGGCATCCGCAACCTCTCTGGGCAGCCTGTTCCAGTACCTCACCACACTCTCTGTAAAGAACTTCCCCCTGAATCCAACCTAAATCTTCCCTCCCTCAACTTAAAACCGTTTCCCCTTGTCTTCCTACATTTCCATTGCAAAGAAGGTAGAGAATCCTACAAGCGTAGCTATGAAGGAAATGAAATATTTCATCTTTCACAAGACAGTTTGATTTTTCTAAGACAACTTCAGATTCATTCATTCAGATGTACGTTTTTGAGAAGCCTCTTTCTGGCACTGAAATTCTTGTTGTAGTCCAGTGTGTCTACACAATTCATGAAGAGGTATCTGTTCATTGTTACTTTAGGGAGAACATCTGTGATTTAAAGATGGATTCCGTTTCACCAAACAGTGATCAGCTCCAGGGACTCCTCTGCTTAAAACTGACATAATTGTATCGTTCAACATTATCTGCATTATTTTTTTTTTATCTTTTTACATACAAATATATTTATCTAGCTATTTCTTCTGAACTGTACAGTTGCAGTGATTTTCCCACCTCATCTAATCATATATGTCCTCAATCTGTTATGGTTGGTTTACATGTTCAGCTAGGCTTGTGGATTTTTGGAAAACCCTAAGACTTTCAAGAGCTGTTTTTCCAGACTGAGGGAGTGCTTTCAGAATGGGTACCCTAGATCTCTTTCACAAAATTGATAGCTCTGTGCTCTTATAGCTCAATTTTAAGAACCTGATTATAATTTCAAATAAGTTTTCTTCAGCTCAAGTCTAAAAACTTTGTTCTCTTCTATAAAACTTTGAAGGCCTGCAATAGCTCAGTGTGCATACATGGTCGCTTCACATGATTCCCTTCTTATCTTAAACAAGAACATAGGGAGATTTTAGGGAAACCACAGGAAGTCATTAAGGATTATTTTCCAGTTAAATACAGAGTCTGTGTATTATATAATGTCCCTATACATGTTTTTATATATACTTCATTTGATGGTGTTTATCCCATATAGTTATCAAATAATATTATACCTTGCCTATGAAGAAACTTCACATCTGAGAGAGTGCAACATATCTCGTACCAAAGACATATCAGCCCATCTCTCTGGCAGCTTTATGCCCATTTGATGGGACAAGTAGAATTAACACAAACATAGCAGTGCTACTGGGGACCAGGTAGTCACTCACAAGGCATGTTTTAACACAGAAATTATCATCCAAGCTTTGGTGAAACACCAGCATACTTAAATAGTGTAAGGAAGTTCCTTCCAAGAATTAAAAAACAGACGCCAGTGCTTCAAACTAACTTCCGTCCTTCTGCCACAGGGGAGGTGTTGCAAGGTAGAAAAATCCAGTCTTGGAAAAATCCCACTGAGAACACAGCTACACCCCAGTGAATGATAAATTGTGTCCCTTTGATGTCCAAGATGTTGAGCTACCAGATCCACAGCAGCAGCACAGGGCAGAAATATGAAAGGAGTATTTCCCTCCTTCTCATTTCCACCTGACAACAACATGTGCCAGTTTACACGATACAGAAGCAGTGCTGTTTCCCAGCTGTTGCCACAGCCCTGCATCTGCCACTGAGAGCAACTTCTCTGAACTGCAGCTTACTTTCTCTCTTGGGGCCAACAAATGGCCTCAGGGGAGGAGACAGGACAGTGCTGAATAACCCTACAGACACTGCGACAGAGGGATAAGAGTTTGCTGACAACACTGCTAGTTCTTTGTATGTTTGTAGGGCAGTGGGCTATTTCCAATTCCTGGGTCTCTCTTAAAGCACAGGGCCTGCTTGTGCTGCAATTGTGGTTCCACACCTAATCTCAGTGCTGCCCCTGTCTCATTCTTATTAATGCTTACGTAAACTCTAGAGAAAAATAAATACTCTATCAGATTGTGAAGCCCATTTTGTCTTCATTGCTTATATTCAAAAGCACATACAAACAAGCTAATAAAATGTTTTCAGAAAATGTATGTGTACATTATGTCTGTACTATATGCGAAAAATGCACACTATATATGTTTGTGTGTTTTTGTAAAACATACACAAATATTACTTCACATACAAATCTACATTTGTCGAAGTATGAAAAACAAATAGGTTGTTTCTCTTAGGACTTCCTTCTCTTCTGCTTGTATAGTGTAGTGATTACTGGAAAGACAATGCTGCAAAGGCAGAAAAAAAATGAAGATAAAATGCAGGGAATATTTTCATTTATTTCAGCTGGAATTCCAGCTTGTCCAGAAAGTGATTTCCTAATTGAGTCTCCACTTTTAAGAACGTTTTGTGATCTTTGCATGTTTACTGTGCCAGTCTCCACATGAGGGCAGTAGATTCCATCATTTTTCTATGGCTTTGCTGTACGCATATAGCTGTGCACTACTGTAACCGGTAGGGACAAAACCTCAACACCACAAGCACTCGAAGCACCATTTGATAGATTTAGCTAAGAATTACCTAATGTAGCTGTATGTGTGTGTGTGCGTGCATACAGGGATACTCAGAACTAAAAGTAATGTCAGATAGTCTTGAAAGTTAACGTATAAACAAAATGGGAACTATAAGATCATAAAGATGAAGTTTGTAACAGCATTTAATGCCTCACCAACAAATTTGCATGACGATATGAACATCAGTAACTGGGACCCAAATACCTTTATTGAATATGAAAATTCAGCTGTAAAATCTAGATTAAGTAGTGTTAGCTTACAGAGTTCATTTTTGTCTTCTACCTTCTTGATCAGATCAGATTTATCAATTAAAGAAAACTTATCTGCTCTACTGTATCTTAATTTTTACCACATTGAATGCTTGGTTTTAGCAGCAATATGTGGAAATAGTTGTCTTGCTACAAATATGTTGACATTTTAGGAAGAATCATACTGACTGATTTGCATTACTCATCACAATGTGGTGAGACACTGATGCATTCTGCACAGACTGGAAAGCAACGTGATATAAGGAAAGGGAAAATGTCAGCCTGTGGTCAGTAAGCAGGAGCTGGGAAAATAGCACCATCAGTGTTGCACTGCTGAATCCTTTTGAAGAAGAAAAATTCATTGCACATCCCTGCAGAGTTTCAAAGTGAAAATTTTGTATACAGTCTTTATAGAAGTAAACAATGAAATGAGAGCTACAGTCATTTAACATGATATATTTGTCTTGAATTTTTTGGAGCCATAAAGGTTTGAGGAAGTGAGAGAGACTTGCAGTCTATTTGTGCATTTGCTGTGGTCCCCAGGAATATTTTCACCAGCTTATAAGCCTACATGGATTTCCATCAGATGAGCAAGCTCCTGTTAGAAGCGTGAAGATGGCAGAATGAGAAGAAAGCTGTCAAGAAGCAGAAAGTAACAGGCCCAGCATACTAACATTCCTTTTGTGGTGTGGCTTCAAGGTAATGTGAAAGTTTATTAACATCTGGATGTCTGAACACAACCAACAGAAAGTACAGCTATCACGTGGATTCCAGAAACAGAGCAGGCAATCAAGATGCATATTGCCATGCACTAAGACACTTAGAGCAACACTTAATATCTAGTTTCTGATCAGATGAACTGTGCCTTTTGTGCCTCGCAAGCCCACATTTCTAGATATCTGAGTTCCTCTGCGAGGTGTTTGCTCTGTATCTAGGTAGTGGTTTATTTATCTGTTAATCACATTCCTTTCTTTGCAGCAAGAATCTGGAGTGTTGCTGCTGCTTCCAACTTTCACACTGAAAGGGCTCTATGTTTCTAAAATGAAATTGGCTGTTTATGAAGAAAATTATTTACAGACATTCTCCTACCGTGGATGTTTTCTGTTGGAGACAAACTTCCT